AAATCAGGAAGCTCAAAGTTTTCCCTATCTTTTCTCTGTTACTTCCTCTGACACATCTTTCAAACCTGCTCTGTGGATCCTTATGACTTAGCCCAAGCCAAGACTATATTTCAAGTAGATTATTCTAGTACCTGACATCTATCTGATATCCTTGCTCTCACCTTCTTTTAAAAATCTATCCTTCACAATGATGCCAGAACTATCCTTATACAGCATAAATCTGTTTATATGACTCCCATTCTTAACAGAATTCCTTGGGCTGCCATAGAAAGTCCATAATTTCTTAGCTGGCTCAAGAAGTCAGAAACTATTTAAAATTGTCCCCTCCTTTTCACTGTAGTATCTTTAGTAGAATTCTATTATATTAAATTTATTCACTATTGTCTGAATCTCCATGACCATACACATGCTAGTTTTATTTCAGGAAATCCCCATGAGTATTTCAAATCAGAATTGAATTTCTTAGTTCAGATTTTCTTAACTTTCTCTGAAAGCATTTACTTCTGTTCTTTGGGTTCATATGGATGTTACTACCTACCTTAATTATAGCACAGAGTACACTGTGTAGTGAACAGCTTGAGTCTTTATAAACTGTGTGTTTTATAGTCACTGTGGCTTATTTTTTCTTTGATTCAGTCCTTACCAATTTTTCTGCACACACACTTTTTTTGCTTAATAAATAAGAAATATACATTATCATGCATCACTTAATTATCCAACTGCAGAAGTTTTCAGCTGTCTCACTAGTGCATATGCCATTCTTTCTATTTTACAATGTTAGTCAAAAATGGCTTAGGTTTAAACTTAACTCTACAATAAACAATATAGTGGTTTGGTGCAAATATTTTGTGAAACAATTTCCTAGAGAAACTGATTTTGGAAACTATGGCACTTCTGATTAAGTATTTGCTTTTCTTCCTGCAAAACAGTAATTTTACATCATATGGGATCAAGCTCTGGTGCCTTGTCAAATTTTTATTTAAGCTCCTGATGTAAGCCTCAGATGCCAACTCAGAATTGCTATTTTTAAATGAACACTTTCCTTGAACTGACTTTTAATTCCTTGGATAATTTCTGCTTGCTATTAGCAGCTGAATATTTGTGCCTGTGCTTCAGGGTTCAGGAAAATAGCAACCATCTGCCAACAACCACAAACTTTAGCCCTAGGTCTCTGTTACTGTGACAGCTCCACCTTCTCTAATGGAAGTATCAGTACTCAGTGAGCACTCTGGCCGTACTCAGTAGTGGAAATACTAACACTCCTTGGCCCCTTCTACATAAATTAAATTTCATCATGTCTCTGGTTGAAAAAAAGAATCTAAAAGGAGTTGGTGACTCTTCAGACAAGATTAAATAAACAGCCATCTTAAAAATTCTCCAAACTCAATATGAAGCATACTAGCTCTCAAGAGGTTAAACCATATAACAAACAACCTCTTCAAAGGAGAAAAATACAGACCTCTGAGAACACTGACAACTCATTTAACAAGCGCATAGTGTTTGTTCTCAGAAAAGTCAGCTTTTGAATTTAGAGGAGTTGAAAGGTTCATTTCTGGAAACAGCTTGTCCTCAAGTTTTTTAATAGTTCTGTTAACCTGGAAGTGGGAGTCATAAGATGAGTACAGTGGGAAATATTCCAACCTTTTCAATGGTTCTAATTGGTGAATGAGAAAGAACTTTGCAGTGTGCAAATAAATCATGACTTAACTCAGTAATCCAAATGAAGCCTAATAGTCTCTTACTTTGAAACCAGTTCTTACAATCTCTGACTATTAAATCCTGATTATCCAGAAAAAAAGAAATTACAGAGTGAAGTAGAAACATCTGAACATGGTAAGATAGCTAAGTACTGTTTTTTACAATTGTAAAAGCTATTTCAGGATAGTCAATATATTAAAAATGTAAACAGAGGGCTTATGCAGGAAGGCTGTAAAGCATGGTGTTTAAGACTGCAAGCTCTGTTTTCATGCATGCCTGGACTTAATTTTTACCTCAGTTTACTAGGTCACCTGGGACAATTTATCCTGTGTAAATCCCAGTTTCTTCATATGCAAAATCAGAATAATAGTAGTATATGCTTTCTAGTGCTATTATGGACAGTAAAGTGAGATCATACTCAGGGGCATTTAATAAAATTTGATCCATATACTTAAACATTAAGGGAATTAACTATATTTTCAGGATTCCTTTCCGGAGAGAAGTAGAACTATAATTTTTTTTTTAAATTAATGATTAGAGTATTAAAGTTTTTCCAGTTAATCCTTTCATTTTATGTCTAACCAAAGCGATATTACCTTCTCAATAGTGTTTGTAAGAATAGTCTTCTTTTCACAAAAATATTAGTGGGCATTAAATGTCTTTAGATAACATATAGAATAATGTGTATACTAATAAAATAAGGTTTAAAAAAAGTTGCTTTAGAAATTTGTCCCATTAGAAAAATAAGCTTTCAAGATTGTATAGATAGTGATTTTATCTTTGCAGTTATTTTCCTATAAATTTTAAACAGCTTCATTGACCCACAATTCAAATACTATCCAGTTTATCCTTGTTTAAAGCACAATTCAATGTTTATTTTAAACACTTTCCCAGATATGTGTAATAATAAACACAAAAAGAAACTTCGTATCCATTAGTAGTCGTTTCCTATTTCTATCCAAACTTGCCTAGCCCTAAGTTATCATTTTGTCATGCATTTTGTCATGCTTTTTGTCTCTATAAATTTGCTAATGTTTGCATCTCATATAAATGGAATTATATGCAATATGTGGTCTTTGTAGTTGGCTTCTTCCACTTAGCATATCATTTTAAAACTCCATGTTGTACCATATACAATATCACTATTTACTCCTTTTTATTATCAAATTAGAATATTGCATTGTACAGATGGACCACATCTTATTTAACCATTTATTAGTTGAGGGATATTTGGGTTGTTTCTGTATTTTATCTACTAAAATAATACTGCTATCAGAATTTATGTATGTAGTTTTTTAATAGAAATATTTTCATTTACCTTAAATATATACTTGCGTGCAATTATTGGGTCATATGTTAAGTCTGTGTGTAATATTTTGGGAATTGTTGTACTCTTTTCCAACATGACTGCACATCATTTTTACCCTTCAGAGATTTCTGATTTCTCCACACTCTCACCAAAACTTTTAATTTTGCATCCTGTTTGATTTTAGCCAATCCTAGGGAGTAGGAAGCAGTATATCATGTGGTTTTCACTTGCATTTCCCTAGTAGTCAGTTTTATTGAGCATCTTTTGCTATGCTTATTGACTATTTGTATATTTTCTTAGACAAAATTCTTTATTCATTATTAAGCTGTGTTAATTGTCTGTTTGCTCAGTTTTCAAGGTCTTTGCACGGTCTGAATGGTATTCCTTGATTAGATATATGATTTGGCAGTATTTTGTCTTATTCTATCAGTTGTTATTGTTACATTTTGATACAATCTTTTATTTGTTAATCATTTCAGGAATGACAAAGTCATACTTGTACTAGTAGTGTGTCTTACTTCAACAAAAGTACCTAGAGTTTGGAAAATAATTTTACCTCTATTTTTATACCTTAACTAGAAAAAGAGATTAGGACAAAGATGGAAATTAGAACTTGTCTTTTCCAAAGCAATCATTAAACACTAACATGATGAACTGTGAATTATCCCAAAGATATGAATTGATTATCAATTGATTCTCTTACCATATCATTATTTTGTTAGTTCATTCAACTAATGAAAATAGTGGGAAATAAAATATACATTGAACTTTAAATGAGGCACAACTAATCTTACATATTTTAGGAAGTGTTCGATTCAGTACTAAGTAATTACTAAATTCTGTGTATTATTAAGACCTTGAAAACAGAGACTAAGGTCATCTGTCTTTGCTTGAGTAGTTCTCAGTCTAATATGAGTGGAAATATACTTATGTTTACATGTTCATGTGAACATATTTAATGAGGTGCAATTCATAAAGTAATAGAGCACTGTACTAGGAAGAAATGATCAGATAAGAGAAATATTTGTGAGTGTGTGTATTCCTCTTTGTATAAAGCAAGAAGTGTAAGCATAATACATGAAACCATAAGACTAATAAGAGCTTCAGCATGAGCATCACAATTGATAATCTGTAAATTCTGAGCTTGATATATGAAGTTAGAGACTGTCAGAAATAACAGGGAAACAAAGAAAAACACTCTTTCTTTTCTACTCAATCATTTCTCAGAAGAAATGATTTACATATTTACATATGTAAACATGTAATTTACATATTTGTAAATTTGTAAAAATTTAATAAGTGACTTTGAAAGTTCTTTGTGTCACCCCTTCCCACCTTTCTCCTCCTCTCAGGGTACAGTGAGTATATTTAGAGTAGAAGCGGGTGTTTAAGTCCTGCCTGGTTCTGAAGTTGTAGACCTAAGAGGTATCAGTATGGCCTTTGAATACAGAGGATTCCTGCATTTGGTCAGAAGTGATCTCCTTAACTGGTAGAAATCTTTAGCCCCCTTCCCACAACCCACGTGTCTTATTCTATGAGAAGATCTAGAGAACTTCAAGGGGTAGACTTTTTTTCTTTTCCTTTCATCCTTCTTTTATTGACAATATACTTAGTATATGAAGAGCACTTTGCCAAACTTTGCGTAAACAGTAAAAGACACAATCTAATTTTTTTTTTTGAAATTTTGAGAGAAGAATAGGGATTATTATTCCCTCTCCACTTAATGTTTTGTTGTTAATTCTTTTAAAGCAATGAGACTCTATTCAAAATATTTATATCCACTAATTTTACTTAAAATTTAGAGTGAAGACACAATTATAGTCTGTATTTGTTTGAAATTTGTATTCATAGCTTGTAGTTATCTAACTTTAATATCCACAGCTACTGAAATTGAAAAACACATGGAATAGTTCTTGAATTAATTATAGGGTCCTCTATTGTTTCTCTTCAAACAAATTCTTCTTAGGAATATCATGTTCAATGCAACTCATACCTGGGAGTCAAAAGCCCGAGTGCTTCCAAAGGATGAGAAAATGTCCAACTTCTCAAGATGGTGTGCATTTCTGAAATGGTCCTTTCATCCCATCCAGGTGCACTTCCCAGGACCAAAGGGAGTGAGCAGTTTTGGTTATTACAGAAGAAGCGGTAAAACCATAAGTATCTTCTCTTTTCCTCGGAGAGTCTGAAAAACCAGATTGGAAACTAATTTCCTGGACTTTGCTGCACTAAGGAAGTGTTTCTGTAAATGCACAGTACAAGACCTTACTCCTGGTCTTTCAGTTCTGTTTAATTTATTTCAGAAAGCCAGTCCTTTATCTTCTTGGATTAGTGTTATAGGTTGTTCCACCAACTTATTTTTCCAACTGAAGGCTGTTATAGAAAAAGTTCTGCAAAGGTCATTCATATTTATTTCCCCCCCTTTATCCATGTCACTTTTGTCAATGTGTCTTTTTAGTTGGCAAAATTTCTGCCTTCTATTTTCTTTATCTGAATGTTGTACCATGTCCTACTTACAGCAGAGGTGATTACCCATTGATTCTCTTCCTTCTTCTACAAATCAACTTACACCCAAGTGGGGCCATAAGGAAATAGCGTACATTGAAGATGTGATTTCCTCAACATAGAGTAAGTTTCATCAGAGTTCAGAAAAACTCCTTGCTGTCAACTTCAAGAACAAAGATCACAATTCATCCCTGCGTTCTGGTTTTACATTTTCAGAGCTCACTGGCAGATGGGAGTGAAAATATCAATGACGACATTTTCTTAAATGCTCAAGTATTTTCCCTTGGAAAGGGGCCTGGGTCAGAGTTCTCAGTCCAGGACAAGCGCCACTGGTCTATCTTGTTTAGCTCATGCTCCAGCAGCAGCATGCAGAACCACAGTTCATTTGGAGGACAATGTGTCTCCTGTGACCATAGCAGCCTTTCAAGCCCGCTTCCTCCAAATTACACACTCAGCTCAGTTTACATCAGCCAGGACTCACAAGAAGAGTAACAGGAAATATCTAATGATTTTAAATGTTAATTTACTCTAAAGCTTCTTTTAAGTCATCTTCACCTGTAAGTATTGGAGTACAGTAAGCCATCTTTTAGTCCCTTTCAAAAATTCATAATTGCTGTTTTTATCTTTACCATTTGGAAGTCTAGTAGGGGAAAAAAGTCAATAGTAAAATGACTACAACATAAATTGTTCTGATTAAGTTCATTTTTTCCCCTCCAATACCAACACTGCTTTTATCTTTTTTTTTTACATCCACTGCTGAAGCATAATTTATATAAAAGAAAATGCAGATTTTATTTAATAAATCTGAATAAGTGTATGTACAAGATAACAACCACAATCCTATCAAGATAAAAAAACGTTTTTCATGCCACCAGAGGGACTGGTAAGGTTTCTTCCACTCTAGAGTAATGATTGCTATTTTAGAGCTCCGAAATGGAAAAATAGAATGCACACTCTTTTATTTATGATTTCTTTCTCTCAGTGGAGTGTTTTGAAATGACCCATATTTTTGAGTCTATCAAGTTCATTCCTTTTAATTAGTGAGTATCATTTTGTATGAATACATCATAGTTTGCTTATTCATTCTTCTATTTGATAGGTATCAGATTGTTTCCCTTTTAGGGATATGAATAAAAGTGTTGTGATTATTTGTGTGCAAGTCTTTAAAGGGTGCTATCTCTTTTCAGTTCTTCCAAGATAAACTGAGGAGGGGAATGACTGGTCTATAGGTCAATTAAGTGTTTGTCCATTAAAGAAATTGTGAAACTATTTTTCCAAGTGGTGGTAAAAGATTACATTTTTACCTGCAGCTTTGTTGCACCACATTCTCGATTTTTTACATGTCTCTTCAGTAGTACCCATTCTAATGGGTGCATAGTGGTTGTGGTTATTACTTACCTTTTTCCAGGTAAGTTTTCATATGCTGTCTCTCTATCTCTTTTCTTTTGAAGTGCCAACAAACGCTTGTTTGTCGCCCATCTTTTTGATGGATTTACTGACGTGATTTTTATATACTCTAGATACAAAAATTTGGACATGTAAACGGCACGTTTTTCCTCTGAACCTGCCTTGCCTGTTTACTTCTTTAGTGGTGCCTTTTGATAAGTGGTTTTAAAATTTAATTAGTCCAATTTATAAATTTTTCAATAGTTCCTGCTTTCTCTTTTTTCTCTTAGAAAACTGCCTATTTTAACATCCATTCTCTAAGTTTTCTTCTGAAAGCCCTATAGCTTAATTTTCAAAAATAGGGAAACATAATCCATCCTAATTTAATTTATATAATAAGGGGTGAGCCTACATTTCTTCTCTTTTTTAAATTTTAGTCTCATAAATATATCTACTTGCTGAAAATGTTTCTTTTTTTCATTTCTTTCTTTCACAACTTTGTAAACACACACACACAGACACACACACACACACTGAGCACACAACTGAGACGCTGTTTATGCTGCATCTGATTCCATTGATCTGTTTCCCTGTCCTAAATATAACACTATCTTTCTCTTAACTGCTGCCAATTTATAATGTATGAAATAAGACATGCAAACACTCCAATTTCTTGTTATTTTTATGATTGCTTGACTATATCTATGCATTAGTTTACAAAATCGAATTTATAAAATTTGCCCATCTCTGCTTTTTGTTCATTCCCATATATATATATATATATATATATATATATATATATATAATATATATAATACTATATATATGTCCATACACATATATTACATTGATATTATCTCATAAGTCACAGCAATCTATTATTATTTGGAGGGTTCTTTTATTTTTTTCTGTACTTCACTATGTATAATTTGTATTACCCTGCCTTCAGATTTACATTTTATTGTTAGCATTGTGCAATCTATGAAGTCTATCAATCTAGTGATTTAAGTTTTTTCAGTTCTGAAATTCGTATATCTTTCTAAAATCTTCATGTTTCACTGATCTATATCTTCTGAAACTCATGAATATCTGTGTAGTTCCTGTACAATATGATGTGGAAGGCTATCTTTTCCAGATTCTCCCCACTTACTTTCCTATGGATAGTATGTTGGATATATGCTGATAGTTTTTCCAATTAGCAAGTATAACATTTGAAGTGCTATACTATTAAAAGTTTGCATTCTGCTATCTTTTGAGTGTTAAGTGTTCTCTGGAAGTTTGTTTTTGTGATTTATTAGGTTTGCCCTTAATCTGGGGCTAGAGTTTACTTACTTCTAGTATGTATGTTTCTGGTTTCTGCACCTAATGACTGAGATGTTTCGTGAGCTTTTTCTATTGTTCTAGAATTTTCTGTCTCCCAGTATTGTTTATTCTCTAATGTCCACAATCATTTTCTATTTTCCTGAAGGCATAAATAGCCCACCTGCTAACAGCAGGTTGGTACTCAATTATATATTAAGGGGGATCCATGCAGTGTCTGTAGCTACTAATCTGTCTATCTTGCTTCCCCTCCTATTATGCTCTGAAGATTCCAGAAGTCTCAACATCACTGAATTCTGATCTTGGCTTTTCTTTTTAGCAAGACTACATATTCTTTTCTGAAGCTACACATTCGGGCCAAAAGCCATTTTAATCATGAGGCTTATCTCAAACCCTGTCTACTCAAGCTTTGAAAATAGTTTTTCAACATGTATTTTGGTTGTGTCATAGTTCTTTAAGTGAGTAGGATTTGTCTAGTGCTAGATACCCTTCATGTAGGAGTGGAAACAATTTTTTATCAAAACAAATTTTGTGTATGTTTCATTTAGAATCAATTATATATTTAGGGCCACTTTTTGATTGATGAAAGAAGATTAATTTTTTCCAATTTTTAGTTTTTGCAAATATCATAAGTCCATTTTTATTATATTTCTCTGAGTTGGAATTTCCTGAGTTGATTATATTTGGTCAGTTTTGGAGAAGCAATAATTAAGTTACCAACTATGTGACAAAATGTTAATTGGCTTAAGCCACCAAACTGAGTGTTATCTGGAAACCAGAGATAATCTGATTGTAGCACAAATTTTATAACATTGAAAGCTGCTCTCCATCTGTTTTCACAGTTCAAAATGAAGCTGTACCGTACTGAACATGCATAGTGATGGTTAAGTGGGTGCGACAGAAGAAATGTTGCTTATTTTATTTATACTATTAACATAAATAGAACTCAAAGTACAAAACAAGTAGAACTCACTGAGGTTAAGTACTCTTTTAATATTTAAATGCACTGCTATTATTACTTGTTTTGTTTGACCTTTTTGTTTGAACATTCTTAAAACTTCAAAACATTGGATTCTTGTTAAAAAAATTCTCTCCTTACAGCTATGCCGATCTCTTGCATGTGACACACTTATTAAATTGAAGCTTTTATATTTCAGAGTAAGAAATAGAAAAAATGCTCATCTAGTTAAGATGATCATAGTCTTATATAACAATGAATTGTTAATATTTGTGTCCAGAGGACTGAGACTTGTCCACCATCTTCAGCTCATAAGCTAACTTTCTTATACCAGACACCATGAAAAGACACTTCAGTCCTCATGACATATTCATTTTACACATTTTGTAACACACTATATATAAAATTGAAAATCTGATGTTAAAATAGGTTTTTTGCTATCTTATGAATTAATCAAAGAACTGAGAAATATTCATAAGAATGAACAGGATGACAGGACTTTGTAGTAAGAGTCATAACATAAAAGGTCACATGACAGAGATGAAACAGAAAGACTTCATTAGCATGGTCAGTGAAGACATCTTTGAGAGATGACATTTAAGTGAAAACTTAAGGGATGAGATGACTTAGATATATAGAATTTAGGAAAAAGTATTTCAGAGAAAGCAAATGTCACCTAAAATGATCTTTAGATGGGGGTGGCATTGGTATATTTGTTGTATATGAGGGAAATCGATGTCACTGGCTTGAAGTGAATGAGAAAATAATGTAAGCTGAAATTAGAAAACAGGGCAATAGTAAGATTAGATTTTATTTAGAGAACAACTGTTTGATAAATCTAAGTACTCCCTGCTTAATAATTTAGTGCTATTAAAACATTACTGATATACTCCTGTTCTTTTTTGAATCTGCAGTGATAATTGTATTTCAATTTTCCCTGTTTACTAAAGCAACTTCCTGCCTATTTGAAAGATGGTTGAGTGGTGCTTTCTCATTGCTATGTGCAGAAATGTACCTAATCACTCATGCTTTCATGTTTTGAGCTGAACGATTTTCAATCTATTCACTTTCCCTTCACCTAATGTTGTTGAATACCACAGGGAAAGACTCTTTATAAGCATAGAAAATTACTTATTTGGTTTTTAAACATTAATTGATCACCTAGCTGTGACTTTAGGAAATGAGAGGAGTTACACTCCGAGGAAGGTTCGTTCTTTGAAGAGATGGGTGCTTCAAGGATGACTGATGGCATCATGAAAAGCAGGCAAAATCCATTCAGAGAACCGTCACTTACAATAAAGGAGTCTGTTTCTTTGAGAGCCTGGCAATATGTTTTAAATACTCTTTTGGTGGTTCTTGGAGATGAGTTCTATTCTCTTCAGAATCAGGTTTCGTATACTCCCATCCAGTAGCTGGAAAATCAATCTGAAACAAAGAAATGATTTTTCCATATATTGAGGGTGCTTCCAAGTACATTATTAACTCAATAGTATCTACCTTAGACCTGTGAAAGCTAGAGAACAATTTCTATTTTTTCCTTTGCTATATGGTGCTTTACAGTAATTTAAAAAAAGAATTTGTTATTTAAATACATATGAAGTTTTTTTTCAAATTTTATAAGTAGATTAGGAACATTTTATATGTAGATTAGTGATCCTGAGAGGAAGTAAAAGATAATAGCAATGTATAAATTTTTAATAAAGCTAAGTATGTTATATTTTTGTTTAAAGCTGAGATTATATCCTTTTGATACTTCCATGTTAAAATGTCTTTCTATCCTGAAATTAAGAAATTTGAATATAGTAATTATCTCTTTCATATGACCACTTAGAATAATAAAGAGTTATTCTGTGTTGTTCTCAGACTGTAACTCTGGGGACCTTTTTGACACAAGAGTGAGCTCTTCTCCACTACCGAGCTATTCTGCAAGCACATTATATAATCAAACTGAATACTTCTGTTTCAGATCTCTGGATTGAGCTAGAATCCAGGCCTTCCTTTTTTTTCTGACTCAATTAAACCATGTTTCAGGATAAAATGGTTCCAGTAAATAAAGTAACAGTTTCAAACTATGTAAATTTAGTGGGTATTTCAGTATTCCACATATTTTCTTAAGACTACAGATATTTTTTCCATTCTAACATTAGCTAATTTGTAGAATCTGCTTTTCTTTGCTGACCTACATTAGGTTGGAATCTTGGAGAAAACTGAAAAACATAATAGATTCTGTATATGAAATATAATAAATTTAGTAATTCATTTTAATAATTTTTGAAATAGTTCTTTTTATTGTAGTTTCTTTTATGTACCATTCCTGCAATCTGATGAAAATAATACTAAGCTAAAGTAAAATACTAAGCGAAAGTAAACTAAGTAAAGTAAAAAAAATACTAAACTTCAGTAAAATTTGTCTCCTTCTGGATTAATCTGGAAGGATTTATTTTGGTATCTTAGGTGGAAGCTTATAGTGTACCAGCTGGTTAGATGTTACTCTTTTTGTGGTTAAATATTATTATACACAAGGAAAGAATACTTTACAAATATTTAATGAGTTATAATTTTATGGCAGTCCCAAATAAATGGTAGGATGGATAAGAAAGCGAGAGAAATAAAAAGTATCTCTGTGTACAATTCTATAATATATTCTTATATAGTTTACTTAGGCAAGCATGTTCATTTTTCATACATTAGTGAAGTTTGTATCAAATTACATTTTTATGGAATATGGCCCTAAATAGTTACTGATTCTAGAGCCACTGATAGAAAATATTGGCATTTCTCAAGTTGTCTTTTCACTTTCTTTTTATTAGTACATGTTTGTAGTGCATAATATTTACACGTCTCATGAGGAGTCTTCTAATTTTTCAAAAAAGAGAAGTTCCCCCAAACAAAACTTTGTATAAATGTATTTACTGTACAGTACTTTTGAGCATCATAAATGAAGCAAGATACAGTGTCTAACCTCAGATAATTTATTGATGAGAACAAGCACACAAATAAACAAGCCAAAAAAAAAAAAAAACCTGAGGATAATAAATACACAGTACCCTGAAGCTATGACCAGTATGGCTTTGTATTTATCCTTCTGTAGTCCTGCCTGACAATGCCTGGTTTTGGTCCTAAAGTTCTATTTAATGAAATATTAGAAGAGATTTCTTCAAATGCTTACACTACTTGTGCCATGATACCCATTTTTCACCTCTGGCTTCAAGCCTTGAGGGTATACTCCAGATTTTAAAAACAGTAATAATGAGAAGGTCACAAGGTCTTTCCTCCTGGAAAGGGTACATTAAGGCCTGGTCGCTTTCTCATCTAATTTCCAATCCCTAGATATTGACTTCCTGTTTGATTTATCCGTCCTGTTTTGCTTCCTCTCTTTTGTGCACTTGGCCACCCTGGTTCCAACTGAAGCTTCATGATTTAGCATGCCCGAGGGGCTGCTGTGAATGTCCCTAGTGCCAAGGCACAAAACAGACCCCATTACGTGCACCTGGACCCAACGGGGGGCTCATGATTCTTAGCTTACTCAGAGAACCTCCACCAGAACTGTACATGTGGTTTGGGCACCATGAGACATTTGCATTATAGACCATAATCTTTTGAGCGGCTCAGAGGGAGAAATACCACCAAACTGAGTGAGATTTTTGGTCACTCACAGTGAAGGAGTTGTAAAAGACGATGGAAAAAATATTATTGGATATTATATCAACACCAAGAAAGGAAACTTAACTAAGTAAGGGGTAAGAGCAAAGGGGGTAAGGAAGAGATTCCATTCCTAGAATAGGGTCTGTGTATTGTAAAGAGGGAATGTAATCCACAGTTAGGGCAGTAAGAGTGAAGGGGTCAGAGAAGGCAAGTTTTACACAAGGAAAAATATTTATATTGTACATAAGCTAAAAGCAAAAGAGTGCATGTCAAAAAATACAACATTTTCAAAGTCGGTAGAGCTTGAAGTGTCAAACAGAAAGGCAAGAGAAGAGATGGGAGAGAAGTTTTTTTATGGAGCACGGCCTTTATTCTCCAGGCAATGCTGAGTCACTGAAGGGTGTAAGTAAGAAACTGACACGTTCACATGTAAGTTTTAGAAGGATCACACTGTGACTAAAGGTTTAAGGGGTGAAAAAGAAAGTTAAGTTGAATTGTTGCAAATAGTAGGGATCAGCTGAACTAGGGCAGAAAAGGTGAGGAATTGAGAGGATAGACTTAAAAATTATTGAACATAAAAATTGGCAGGATGTAACACGGACTTTTCAAGGCAAAGGAAAAGAAGGAGGAAGCAAGGAAAGCAGGTAGGTGTATGTGGAACATGAGGAGACATAAATAATCCAGGGTGTGAATAAAATTCTGGAGAGGAAGTTGGGCTCAGTTTAGGATCTGTTATGTTTGAAGATGCCAATAGAAGAACCAGGCAGGAGTTTCAGTGAATATGTATGTATCTATATCTATATCTGTCTCTCTGTCTCTGTCTCTCTATCTCTGTATATCTGTCTCTGTATCTCTCTCTCTCTAGCTTATGGTATAAAGGAATCCAAACTATAGCCATAAACTCAGAAGTATACTTGAGTAGATACCATGAAGAAAGTGTTAGAAATGAATGAGACCAGTAATTCTACTGTTACACATATTCAAGTGACATCTATACACACAAAAATGTGTACACAAATGTCCACAACAGTAAATTTGTTATTAAACAGAAAACAGAAACAACCCAGATATATATCTAATAATCGATAGGTATATAAAATGTGGTACATTCTCGCAATGTAATAACATTCAAAAATAAAGAGGACCAAATACCATGCTACAGCATGGATCAGCTTTGAAAACACTGTGCTAAATGAAGAGTCAGTTCTGAAATATTACATTTAAATGAAATGTTCAAATAAAGGAATACTCGGAGACCAAAACAAGATTAGTACGTAGGAAGGATTTGATGGGTGAGGATTGACAGCTAGGAAGTAATTGATAAAATGTATGGGATTTCTTTGAGTCTATGAATCTGCTCTAAAATGGACTGTGATGATAGTGGCACATATCTGTGAAAATACTAAAAACTTCATGACAGACCTAAAGTGGGAGAATTGTATGGGATATGTTCTATTACACAACAGCTCATAAGTATGTAGGAGCAAATATGTATATGTCAATTTTGTTTTTTGTCTTTTTTGAGACGGGATCTTGCTATGTAGTTCAGGCTGCCCTTGAGCTCATTTTGTAGCCCAGGCTGGTCTCAAACTCACAACGATCCTCTTGCCTCAGCCTCCTGAGTACTGAGATTACAGGCATGTGTCTCAATACCTGGTCTTCAATAAAATTTTTTTTAAAAGTGTAAAAAGATGAAAAAGCTAACTACCATGATTTGGTTATAGTACATTATATGGAAAACATCACACAACACCACATAAATAGATATATTTGAAATAAGATAATAATTATTAATCAAAATGTTTAATTACAAAACAAAAATAAGTGCAAATTATATTTCAGTGAAGTCATTTGGGAATAACAACGGCAGCAGATAGATTTTTTCAGAAGGGTATACCTTGAGGTTTAGCTCCTGGGAAGGAGAGAGGGAAAGAAGAGACAAAGAAAGAGGAGAGGAGGACCACGGGAGGCAGGAAGAAATTGCTCTGCAACAGGATAGAGACAGTGTCAAAAAGAGCAGAGAGGGCTGGTATGACCAGAACTGAAAACTACCGCTGGGCTTCATATGTAGGAATTAGGTTACTTGATCCTATTACATATAGTGAAAATAAATCAGGCTATGGCAACTTTGGATAAAAATGGGGAGGTTAAAAACAGAGAAAGACAGAACAAAGACAATATTACCACACATACACCATCTCTACTGTGAGCATCAAAAACAAGATAGGGTTATTCCATTGGGTTAGATTCAGGCAGGAGCAGTAAGTTGAGAGACACCCAACCTAAGGAAGTTGAGCAATAGCCTGCTTATTTGTCTCCATTTATGAGCTAGGATCTATTTTACCCAGTCCACTGCTTCTGGCCAGCATATCAACCTGACAACCTAGCAAAAATCACTGACTTGAAGGTAATACATTCTATAATGTATCACAACCTTTGTCAGATTGGGTTGGCTACGTCGTGGCAGTGACTGCTGCAGGCAGCTGAGTTAGTTTAAAAATATTATATGCAGTGAGATAGAGTTGGTCCTCCATGGAGCCAGTGCAAACACCTGGCAGCTGCAGTGGAAGCTGATGCTTCCTGCGGTGGGCCAGGCCTCAAGACAAAAGACCATAAAGATGAATCAATATCCTGAGGATTGATATCCTAAATAGTGCCCAACCCTCTAGGAAAGAGTCACTGCTCTATAAGAATGCCTGCTTTCTACGTGACTCGCTTCCCCATTTGTTCCTAATGTAATCAATTTTACCTGAACTATTGATCTTATTGGCTAACTATAGTTATATCCCACAGCGAACCCATGCTCAGGACCGCTTCTGTCTCTCTTCAGACAGAAGCTCTCTTTCTCTCAATAAGTAAATTCTACTCTTAGCTCCTTTGTTCCTAAAATTCATTCTTCGATTTTAGAGAACAGGAACTCACGGACACAGTAGGTTGGGCGTTTCATTCCCCTACATTATAACCACCCACCTAGTAAATATAATCACAAAACTAAGGACCTGATAGAAGTTAGATAGACATAGTGTAGTTCTTTCAGTGTGCAGAGGAAAGAACAGGAGGTTAGGCGATTTGTTCAAGGTCATAACTATTTTTGTTAACTAGCTAAGAGTAGAATCCAGATTTCCCATCTCTCAGCCTGATGTCTTCCCCCGAGAACACATACCCATAAACATTGTTGGGAGACAGGGCTTCTAATTTTCTCTGATAGTTTTTAGGTTTAAATATTCTGTTCTATATTTGACTCATTATATTATAAAACTGATATGAGTTACTAAACATTTGAATTTTACTATCCAAATAGCTGTTGAAGCAGGACTTTTAAAAAAAAAATCAAGTTTTCCAAACAATTTCCCCCCTACAGCTGTTGTTCTTTGCTCTAATACAGATAAAAGCAGTAACTTTGGTCTCTGTAAGTAAAAATTTATAACCTCTGTTCCCATAACATCCTGTCATGCCTGAGGGGGGCCACCAAGGTACAAAACTGTCACCGCTTGACAAATTGCCTTTGTTCTCCTTCTGTCCACCCACGAGTTCCATGCCAAAGACCAACCTCCTTGACCAAATGCATAAAACCTAGAGCCTTTCATTTGTGTAACATCAGCCATTTGGGATTCACAAAAATCCACTGGGCCGGTGTGTACCTAAAATTCCAGAATAAAATCTTCATTTCCCAATGACCTCTCTAGTCTCTTAAATTCTCCAACACTATAATAATCGTTTTTAGTTTGCGTATTTCATTATCAATTTAAAAACAGGCTTCTCCTGGAATTTTTATCCATATGATTTTGTAATTATGGCTTGTTATCATTCTTGCATTTTTATATTCTTTTCTTGCTTTTTTTTACACTGTTAATATGGTACTTGTTTATAAAAATGACCATGGAATTCTACTACATTTTTTTCAGTGAGAGAACTCTATGTTTTTTGTTATCACATATTATATGTGTGCATCATAAGAAATGAGATCATGTGCATATACTTCTAAATTGCTCAGAATTTTAATTTGGTGTATGGTCAAAATAAAAAATAAAAATGTGCATCTATGTCCTCTGTGTATGTATACCACTTGAAAGTAGTTTTAAAAATCACAACTTCAATTTTGAATATGGCTGAATGACTATTATATGTTCCCACTCCCTACTTTTTTTGAAAGATGGGTCGTGGTATCAACCTGTAAATCTATGCTGCTGTTGAATATTGACAGATGCTTTTGAATTTCCACTTGCCAGAATCTGTGTTCTAAGAGAAATTATTCTTTTAATGACTATCTCATTTGGTAGTCTCTCTTAATTCTTTAACTTTCACTACTGCCCCATTCCCCAAGGCTCCCAAAATTGAAGATTTATGGCTACAAAAGCACTAATAGTAGTTAGACTTGAAGACTCAGACTTTATTAAACAGAGGTAGTTTGGATCTGACAAGAAGTACTTTAAAAAAATACTTCATTTACCTTTTTAAAGAAAGTTAGCTGTTGTCTACACCTAGTCACCCTATAAGACCACAAAAAGTGTCTCCCAAACTGAATTTGTATGAAGTCTGTCTATTGTCCATATTCTTTCTTAAAACTAAAGATATTGTTATTGAGTTAGGAACTCAAGGTTTCTTAAAATTTATTTCCTTCATAAAATTACATCTTTCATGTTTAAAAAAAGTTGTTGAAATCTATTACATTTTTTTCTGTTGTCCTCATAATCATTTAAAAAGATTTTTTTGGAGAAAAGGTAAACTGGAATTTCATAATAGAATAATAAAAGGCTAACAAGAGTTAATACACTGATTACCATCGTCTTCTAAGTAGTTTGGCCCTATGATCTTTAGCTGAGATTACTAAAATGCTTTTCTAAAAATTCTCCATGTAGATAGATGGTTTTCTTGTGTTCCAGAACAATTTCTATAGTATTTCTGGAACTATCTTCTATGACTTGTTTCCCAGATAATCTTGTCCAAATCTAGTATACAATCTAATGTTTTAATGTTTTTCCAGCTTTTACCACTGTTCCTCATGCAATTTCTTTTTTACCTTAGCTCACTTGTCATAGTTTGAAATTAAAACTTCTTTCTCAGTTTTTGTTTTTGAACCATGTAGACTTTTCTGACTGGATCATCTTCCCCCCAAACTGCCGAGTGAGAATTTACTCAATCTGCTCAGTGTAGTCAAAGGACATCCTTTAGGAGTTCTTCCTCAGACTTCATATTTTTTCCCTTTCAGAAATATCTTTTTGTTTTTTCTCAATATGTTAGTGCCTATGTACTAAACATTAGTCATAGGTTTTGTAACTTTGCATAAGGTGACTTTGGAAAGTCTGTCTCTCTGGCTATGTCTTGCATTCCTTGAATCACTGGTTTGGTATTTCACATTCTCTCATTGTTAGAAGGGTGTTTATCAGAAGTTTGGTACACAGTAATCGTACATGAAGTATGCATTCATTGTGAATGAACAGAACCATAGCATATTTTTTTTTTTGTCTTTTTCCTTTTTATCAGTACTGGGGATCAAACTCACGACTGCCTGCTTTCAAGGCAGGCGCTTATGCCACTGAGCTAAATCCCCAGCCCCAGAATAATAGCATTTTGCTAATCTGCATTAGTTTTGAATATTTTTATCCAGTTTATGGCAAATCTTTCATCTTATTGATGCAACTATTTCTTTTGTCTGTTACAATAATACATCTACTAGTAAATAACTCTGTGTTGAATATTTGTGATGCATCAAGATCTAAACTAAAGAATTTCTTTCTTATTGTGTCCATGATTAAAGTGGATCCTTAGGTAGTCTGGTAGGACTCTCCTTTGTCGTAGCATGAAGCCATGTTTTTGTAGCATTACTTTTTAATTATCAAGATATTTCCCTGCATTTTTCTAAACTCTATCCTCCATAACTTTTACCCTAATATTGTGAATTTAAGCTTTATGAGTTTTCTCTGGCATAGTCATCTTCATGAGAGTGCAATTTCATCCCCAGAGGCCTTATGGCAATATCTGGAGACATTTTTAATTGTCAGAACTGGGGAGGCTGCTATGGCACCTAGTGAATAGAAGCCAGTGATATTTGTAACCATTCCATAATGACTGGGAGCAAGGTATTCACAACAAAGATTTATCCACACCAAAATGGTGCTGAGGTTGCAAAATTTTATCCCAGAGAGTGCTATTCAGATAGCAGTTCCTAGTTTCTCTTTTAAGAACTGAATGCTGATAATCCCTGCATTTCCATCTATGAAAGTATCCATGTTTCAGGTATCTAACTGTTATGGTTCAGATCTAAAGTGTCCTCCCAAAGTCTCATGTGTTTGGAAAGTGGCTGGGCATTGGAGGTGCTGTACTCATCAGTGACACTGAATGTGCTGGTCAGAGTTGAGGGAGGCATGGAGGTGGATCGTGAGGAGTGTGACCTGGAAACACCTGCTCTCATCCCTACACCTCCCTTCTCTCTCTGCTTCCTGGATGCTATGGAATAAACAGCTTTCCTCCACCAGGCCATTCTACCATGCTGTTTTGAGAACCAGCTGACCAGGAGCTGAAATGATGGGTTAAAGTAAACCCTATTCCTTTAAAGTGTGGGTGTTGGGTATTTTGTCCCAGCTCCAGGAAAGTGACTAAGTCACTAATATAATGGACTAAAGTCATGAAAAATGAAGAGCTCCCACCATAAATATCTGAAGTCTGGACTCACTGACTACCTTTTAATCAGATTCCAAATCAAAAGAGTGCAGAGTTAAGAAAGATAAAAATATAATAAATGGATTTTGTTTGCAATTTTCTTCCACTACTCAGTGAATTGGTAGTCATTAATGGAAATGTATAATAGGAGAGACTTTAAAGAAATATGACACAATGTAGAGGCAGGTGTGGGTAAGGTACTAAGTTAATAATGCACGCCAATGTCTATTTCTAGACAATGGGAAGAAATGAATGCCCATAATGAGCGTATTAATGACAACACTCCTTTGCTGTCCTTCATAACCTTGTTTGATGGAGTGAGGGCTTGAAATGCTGTTATACAAGCAGGGGAAAAGGTGCTTTGAGTGTTCTGAATGCAAAATAAAAACAGTTGTTTGAGGATTCTCAGAGAGCTAGAGTAAAAGAAGACTATTAAAATGTGTGATCTTGGGGGAAATTGTTTCTGTAATTGACCAAAAACCTACTTATCAACCAACACTTGCTGTGTGTACTTTAATCTCATAGCTTGGCACTTACCTGCAGAGTCACTGGGGTTGGCTGACTTCCATCCCACACTCCTGGAGCTATCATTTCTATGGGAGGCTCATTCTGTAATGTCATGCTGAATAGCACAGACCCAAGAATGGATTTTCTGCAAAGGACAACACATACAGAAAGGAATCACTCCATGAGGGAAACTATTAGTATCTGTATATGTTTTCTTTGGACATATAAGCATAATCAGCTACTTTTGTGGCTTTACTCAGTAGCAAGAAAAGAAATAAGATATTCCATAAGCCCAGCCACCAAATAATAGTTCATTTCTAATATACTGATTTCATTGCCAGTTGCACAGATACCTAAATTTATTTCTCATATGAGAAAATCGTTTCCACAATAGTTTCTAACAAGTAGTATTTACCTGTAATTGCTGACAAAGGGTGGTGATGAGGGGGAACTAAAAGCCTCAGATTTATATTCTTGGAATCATGGCTACTTTAAGTCAATAAAGATGTTAACTCTTAGAGCATTTTTTGATCATGGAGTGGCTAAATTCTCTAGGGCATTTTGGATTGGACACTTATAGAGAAATTTACATTAACACAGCATATGATCTGTGGAATCAAAATACTTGTGAGAATTCACAGATTAAATGTTCCTGCATGCATAAATGGAAAGATTCTTCATCTTTAAACGCAGACACTTAGAAATTGCTTGTAAATTACCATAGTAAATGAAAGTGTATGCAGGAAAGACTTTAGACAGGCAAAAATTCATATAATATCAGAATCCTCAAATCTTTTTATATATAAATTTTAAAATGAGGCTATACCAGGGTATTATGTGAATCAAAATGCAAGTAAAATGTTCCAGTGATCACCAGGAACAATGTTTGATTTTAATATTCCCAACTGAAAGGACAGAAGTGAAAAGCAAGAAAATTAAATTTAGCCTTACAAAAAATGTAAAGCATCTTATTTATTTATTTTTAATTGGTATCGGGGGTCGAACTCATGACCACTCGCTTACAAGTAGGTGCTTATGCTGCTGAGCTAAATCACCAGCCCCTAAAGCATCTTATTAATGACAATATATAATTGTATCTTGCCACATAACAGATACTAAACAAAATATGAGGAACCAAACGTTCTGCCAAATAAAACTTTCGACTTTTAAAAGACTTTAAATCCTATCTTCTGTATTTGTTCCTTACCTAAAAAATATTGTCAGAAAATATCTTTACAAGAGAATATAATTTTCCAGCATTCTTAAACAGCCATTTTTATACAATTCAAGAATATTCTTCAAGAAGGATAATATTAAATATTGTTTTGTTTGTTCCTTTGCTCTATCCTCTTCTGAAAAGATTCTTTTAGTTTTTTGAATTGGACTAACAATGCCACGGGACAAGTATTAGTAAGGTAAAATTGTTTAACTGGAATAACCTTTAAAAAATCATTAATGTTATTTTCCTTTTGCTCTTACAGTATATGACCTTGACTCAAAATAGCCTGAAATATCCACGAACTTGGTGAAAGTTTGGGTTTGGGTCAGGCGGCATACAAGAGAAGAAAAGAGCACATGTAATGTCAGATGTGGAGGTCTTGGGTCATAATATTATGCATGACATTTAGAGAAAATATTTCCATCCGCAGTGAGGGGTAAGGAAGGGAAGGAAGACAGAGGACATGACAGAGTAGGTGCAGAGAGGGAGAGAAGGACAGCAGTTTGGAGTGGTGGGAAGCAGCAGACAGACAGAGAGAACAGAGTGAGTGTGACCCACGGAGATGTCCTGCTTTCGTTTCTGTAATCCTCCTGAGAAACTGATGAAGTGTGAGTAAACAGAGCTTAATGTAATGCTTAAGGAGAAGGGCTTCCTTCTCCCACTTCCTGTTTCAAATCCTGGACTAAAACCACTTCTTGAACCATTTTGGCTTCTATTTGTGGCATGGTCATTCAACATGAAGCAGGAGGTCGTGAGTTTAGTTTCATGGGACCTTCTTTGGTCACGGAAAGGATCAGCTGGGATTTAGAAATAGCTAAAGATATATAGGAGAGCTCTCAGAATGGGGTGCTGGTGGCGTGACACAGTGAGATGAAAGGAACTCTTGACAAGGAATCTGGCTGGATCAACTAGGCTGGGGTGAGCCAGGTATTTGAAGCAAACCTCAGATAGTGCTCTCAGATGGGAGAGTTCCAGTCACAAGCTACACTAGCTGCAGACTTTGGCTATGACAAGTTTTGATAGGGATGTCAGAAGTCAAATGGAACTTTTTCCCCTTTCTTTTATAATCCTGGATATCTTTCTTCCTTCTTAGGTATGATACAGCTGCGTAAAGAAACATTTTTATGCAGCAGTAACTGCATACTTATGAAAGCACTGTTAAAATGACTGCTACATTGTCATAGATGGAAAGGCTTTTTCTCCTTGTTAATTTAAGGGTTAGAGCTCAAGAAGAAGAGCATGATATAGTGATTTCATTTTGCATTTGTAGCTAACGTGTAGAATGTGCCATAATCCTGGCTTCACTCATTTGTATGTATTGACCACATGCTAGAATATCTAAGGGATCTACGTTGTCTCCTATAGAAGAAAAGTCTCATGGCAAGTATCTGCCCCTCTGTGCTTGAGTAGAATATGTATTTATGGTCACCGTAGCCTTCCTCCTGAAGCGTGGGCCGAATGAAGTCAGAGCACTTGATGTAGGGGTGTGCATGAAAGCCCTACCAGGAAATAGGTCACAAGAACAATGAACTTCTAAACTTAAAGGAAGCTGATTCACAGAAACGTGTTTTTGAAACTCATTCAATGGGAGAAGGCACCATTTTTGGAGGCCTTTTTTGTGCTTAGTTTTAGCTAACTTACTTTCCAATAAAAACCTCTGCTTGAATATCTTTCTAGATACTGCAATCTGAATTTCCATAAATGAAGAAGATGGTAAATGGAATTAAAATGTGAAAAGAATATATCTGAGAGTCCTGATGATTTCTGAAAGAAAATGGAAATAGAAACTTTTCACACCGGGCAGGTAGGGAACTCTAGTGGTTTCTTTCGTATTAGTACTCTGAAAGATTTATTGTGTCAGTTAAACATACAAAAACACTAAGGAGATGAGCTGCACATGAAAATATACTGGAAAAGACAATCTATAACACATTTCTTGATTATCTTCATTAATCAGCCTTAATTGTTAAGTTTCCTGTAGTTTCTTGAACAAAATTAGTGAATTAGTGACTTTACAATGAGATTTTATATGGCTTTTGAGTTCTGCTGGTGCCTGACATAGAGAGATTCTAATTCAACTCGACAACCTGCCTGACTTTCTCCTCACACAACTCAAGCACAGACTATTCATCATGACTCCAATATGTTGAGGTTTCTGAATATGATGTCATTTAAAACCAACTACATTGCTAAGCATAACAATTCAAAGTGGTTTTTTTTTTTTTCCAGAATATCCTTAAGGATCTTTCCAATTTGAGTATTTTCTAATTTTATTGACTGGCATACCTAACCCATCATCTTTGGTACCAAGAATATAGATGGGTTGTTTTATCCTGTCTGGGCCCTTATTTATTTAAGCAATAAGCAAGTTGCTTGATGAAATAATTATTTTTAGCTACAGCATTATGAGCAGCTCTCACTGGCAGTCTGGAACCAGGATACAAGAAAACATTAGAAGTGAGACACTGTCAGAATCTGAAGATCTGATGCTATAAAATTACTTGGGATTTCCACTGTGACTTTGATTTCATGCCTGAGAGCTAAATCTAGTTAAGGCTAAGACAGAATCCCCTTACAGAGGGGAGGAGTTTCCACAGCGTGTTCATGGAGTAGGGTATGGCTCTTAATAGTAGGAAGTAAACCCACTGAAGTTAGAAAAACCTTGTAAGTTATATCTGAGTTCTTGTTCGATTTTAAAATAGATTGATGAATTGCAGAAAAATGTTGGCCTGCTTTTGTGATAGAGTTCTTCACCTGTAAGTGAAGTATTTGGACTTAGTTCTGAGAGTCTCTCTTGCACCAGAAAGAAGGACAATACAGAATGCATGAAGGGCAATATTTTTTGTAATCTGATTTTGAAGATATATCTGAAAGGATTATATGCTCACAGGGCAAGATTAGCAGCTCAGGCTATTGTCTAAAGAACCAAATTGTTTTTGGATTAAGACTAATTTTAGGTCTCTCTTAAGTTTTTGTGTGAGTTTCTAATTTTTCTAGGCTTTCTCATCATGGGAGTTCAGAATATACTGATTCTCAGGCAAAACCACCAATCAATTAAATCAGAGTCTTGGGGGGGATATTTGTACATTAATTTTATAACTTTTCTATAAAATTCTATTGCTCAATCAGGGTAGTGATTCTGTGTTGAAGCATCTCATTGTGTTTTACAAATGCTAAGCAACCACAATATTATTTGCTGTGAACTTAAATTGGAAAGAGAGCTTGTAAAAATTTTGAGTTGAACCTAATACTCTCTTGCTGCAGTATAAGACACTGTGAATACAGATACAGTGAAAATTCTGCCTGCAAGAAAGGAAGATTATAAATTTTTGTTGGCCAAATTATTCCTTTGGACTTGATTATTTTTCTTTACAGAATTAAAGGGTAAATTTGCATGCCTGAAAATGTGGAAATCTAGTTTTTATTTTTAGGCATCATTAATGCATCTATAACTGATGTATCTAAGCATAATCTCTGTTGTTTCTTTGGAAGTCATCTTCTGGAAACCAAGAAAAGGTAGGCATACTGGAAGCATATTTTTAGTACATGTACGTTGAAAACAATAATGACATAAGTGCCCCTTCAGTTCCACATGGTTAGCTATGGTCAGTTCAAACTACTGTAAGAGTCAATACTAAGTGTGTACATCCAGGAGGTCCTTTGAGTGAAAATGAAACTAACATGCCAGTTTTCTGTGATCTGGAAATATCTGTATCAAACAGATTGAATGACAATCTCTGTAACTTGTCACAATGAGCAATATGGGAGTCATTGCTTTTCCTTGACTGCCACTCATGACAGATTTCTCAGGTCTTAGAAAGACCTAGATTTCTTTAAATTGTTTAGCACAGGAAAGAGATTATCCGATTTTCATTAGATACAGTGTGTTAGAAATACATTTACAAATGCATATTGAAATATGAATTGAAGAAGTTGAGCTTTTTGATACTCATTGCCTCCTCCTTTTCAAAGTTTCCCTTACAAAACTGTCACCATGGATCTGTCCCAAATGGCACTCCTCATAGGTGCTCACTTTCCAAGATCACTTGCTTATGAAGCATTCACCAGTGGTGACTTATACTTGGCAAAACAACAAGATGGCAAGGAGCTCTACTATCATAACCACCCCAAATGAGCTTTGACAATAAGTTTGGAAGAAAAAAAATCCTGACTTATAATATACTAATATTTATTGATATTTGCAAAATAGTGTACTTGATGATAAAAGAGAATAAAATGTATTGAGCATTTTTTCAGTGAATAACTAGAAATATTAATGTATAAAAATGCTAGATCTTATAAATACTCCAGTTGAAACAGTAAAGAAATCTCTCATGAGAAAGTAGGACTCCTGTATAGCTGCTCCCAGTGAGAAAGTAATGAAAGTTCTTAGCACACAAATCAGATCTTTGAAATGTCTGCTAACAGCAGTAGATATTTATTTTAGGGCTAAACTGTTTCTTACAGACCTTTTTAAATGTTTCATTCTAAACCACCTATAGCCATTGATTGCTGTTCCAATTCAATTTAGTACACAAATCTCTATTGATTGCCTCTTTATATGAGATATTATGTTAGATGATAGACACTGCAGAGATAAATATATGCCCTGTCATCAAGGAACCTGTATATGAAAAGAGGCTAGAGTATGAAATTTAGTAATAGAGCAACACACACACACACACAAACACACACACGCACACACATAAACACACCCTAGATCAGAATTAACCCAACAAAGAAAGTTTTAAAGATTTATCATGGCTTCTTCAATCATTATTTACTTTGTATAGGTATTAGAATTCAAACCTGATGAAGAATTTTCTTAATACTTTTCCATTATAATTTTTTAAAGCAGCAAAGATAGAAATATATTTATAACAATATTGATATAACAATACGGATCATCATTTTTTTGAACATGTTGATTTTCATCATTGGATTCTAAAGTAAGTTTTGGCAGATGAAAAGTTAAGTTGAAGATTCTGAAACATTTTTATCTTAACCTAGAGAATCATTAGTTACCTAATCAAGAAAACTAAATATTAACTGTTCCTAGGAGTATGATTAAAGCAAATTTTCAGTGGCCATTAGTCCTGAGAGAGTATCTAAACTCATAGTTGATTTACTTTCCTAAAAAAAAATCACCTTAAAGTTATCAAATATTCCTTCTTGGCAATAAAAAGTCAGTAAATCAGTTACACTGTATAATTTTGTCTCCATCAGAATTTCATGATTTATACTTTTTCTAAATGACTATAATAATTCCAATTATTTTGAGTAACTAATTCCAGAGAAATTGGCTGGTCACAGAAGAAAAAGTAGTTGAGATTGGTCATGCCAATATTTTCTCACTGTAATGACCTCGCTGACAAGCTGAGCATGAGTTCTGCTTCTAAAACCATTTCTTTCTTTGTTTCTACCCTTCAGTTCTGCTTTTAATCATCATAATTTATTTTGAGATATCCCATTTTGGAATAAAATGTCTTCTTGATTTTCTCATTATGTCATATCCTGCAAAACATTTAGTTCCAGTAAGGTTTTAGTACGATGGGAATTTCGTAAATCATAAATAATATACATACTCTTTTGGAAACAATGGAAGACAGGTCCAGGCCAATAAATTTGGATTATCTGTATAATCAATCCCAAACACTTTTATTGTGAGCATGGATTCCCTTGGAAGTGATTTTGTTTCAAGAGGAAAATTGATCCTGAAAATAAAAAGCAGTAACATTATTTTCCCAATTATTAAAACATTTTATAAATATTATACTGTAACATAATAGTTGGAGGCAAAATTATTTAACTATGTGATTAGAGATATTGTGTTCAAATTTCTGGATTAATCTGGTCAAAATTGGAAATATAATTGATAGGTTAATGATTCATTATTGAAGAAATGAAAATAATACTCATAATTTTGATCAATAAATTTGTTTTAAAGATTATAATAGCTTGATTATTTATTATAAGTACAAAAGAAAGAATGACTATATTTGTCTTAAGACATTGGAGAAGGAAGAAGCTAACTAAAACGGGCCTTAAGGGTAAGTTGGGTGGGTTTTTATGAGATAAAGATTTGGAAGAGGATATCCCAGAACAACAAAAGGGCACAGACCTGCAAAGATATACCAAAGATTAGGTGGTGCTGACAAATAATGAGTTCCTTGTTAGAAAAAGAGATGAGACCAAATTGATAAGTAGGGAAGACAATTAGAATGAGGTGGTTGCCAGAATGCTAAAGAACTCTGGGTGTCAAGTGAAAATATCTGAATTTTTCCTGACAAAAGGAGATATTTGAAAGAGAGAGCTAGGGGTATACAGAATTATCTACAATTTTAAATTTGAACTGCTCAGAGTAATGATGAGGTCCAGGAATTTGAGGGATAATGACTGAAATATAATACTTATGCAATTGTACTCAATAGGATAGCTAGACACAAAAATCAAAATTCAAAAGCCAATCAATTTCCTGTACACTAATAACAAGCTCACTGAGAGAGAAATTGAGAAACCATACCCTTCACAATGGCATCAAAAAAAAAAAAAAGAAAGAAATACTTAGGAATAAACCTACCAAAGGGAGTAAAAAGTCTATACACTGAAAATTATAGTTCTCTGAAAAAGAAGATCAAAGGAGATGTCAGAAAAGTGGAAAGATCTCCCTTGCTCATGTATAGGAGGAAAGAACATAGTGAAAATGGCCAGACTCTCAGAATTGTTATACAGATTTGATGCAATATTGATCAAAATACCATGAGTGTACCTAACAGAACTAGAGAAAACATTGTAAAATTTATTAGGAACCAGAAGAGACTTAGATAGCAGAAACAATTCTTGGCAACAATGGCAAGGTAGGGGCACTACAATTCCTGATTTGAAATTATTTTACAAAGTTACAGTGATAAAAGTAGCATGATAATGACAAAAAAAAAATAGACCTGAGGATCAGCAAACAGATTAGAAGGTGCAGAAATACCACAAACACACTCAGCTACCTTATCTGTGACAAAGCAGCCAAATATGTTCACTGAAAGAAGACCTCTTTAATAAATGATGCTGGGAAAACTGGCTTTCCACATGCCAAAGATTAGAATTAGACCCATGTCTATCACTATGCACTACACTAAAATTGAAATGAATCAAAGATCTAAATTTTAAAACAGAAACACTACATCTGCTACAAAGTCAATCGGCAGAACTCTTGAAGACATAGGTGTAGGCAAGGATTTCATGAACAAAGCCTCAATCACACAGAAAATAATACAAAGAATCAATAACTGGGATCTCATGTATTAAAAAGCATTGGCACAGCAAAAGAAATCATTGAAAGAGTGAAAAACAACCCACAAAGTAAGAAAAAATTTTAGCCAGTTCCTTCAGAAAAGATTTGTATTGTGAACATATAAAGAATTAAAAACTAAACCAGACTCCTCAAATTCAAAGACCCAGTCCAAAAATGTGCATCTAAGATGAATACACACTTCTTTGATGAAGAAATATGATTAGCAAACAATATATGAAAAAAATGTTCAATGTTACTTGCTATTAGAGAGATGCAAAATTAAAACAATGCTTAGATTTCATTTCACTCTAGAAAGAATGGTCAAAAAATCAATAAATCAACCAATAACAAATGCTAGTGGGGCTTTGGGGGAAAAGGAACCTTTCTCTGTTGTTGGTGGGAGTGCAGACTTACAACCACTGTGGAAATTAGTGTGGCTATTCCTCACAAAGCTAGAATTAGAGATCCCATTTGACCCAGTTGTTCGCCATCATGCCAAAGTATCCTGGGTGTCTTCCCCAAAGAATTAAAAACATCATATCACAGCAATATATGCATATCCATGTTTATAGTAGCACAGTTTGCAATAGCTAAACCTTGGAAACATCCTAAATATCCATCAACTGAGGAATGAATGAAGAAGTGTTTTTTTTTTTATACAATGGAATGCTACTCTGTCATAAAGTAAGATAAGATTGAGACATTTCTAGGCAAATGAATGCAACTTGAGACCATACTCTTAAGTGAAATAAACCAGACTCACATGTATAAACATCAAATTGTCTCTCTCCGGTGTGAGAAACTGAAGGACTTAATAATTACCAAAATGTACAACAAATAATTGTGAAATGAGAAGAAAATGTTTAAAAGCAGAGAGGAAGTAGTGTGGGGAAAAAAGGAAAGAAAGGGATGGAAAGGGAAAATACAATTTTAATATGATAAAATGGAAGTGAAACTTTTTAAATAGAGAAGAAGAGGGGTTGAAGGGAGGAAAAGGGATTGAGAAAAAAAGAGGAATCAAAATATATCATGTAAAATTTATATATATATATATATATATATATATATATATATATATATATTACAGGTACAAATTTCCTATGATGAATATGATCATTATGTTTATCTAAAATCCTCCAGTAGTCTTAATTTTTAAAAAAGTAAGTATCCTCAGGTTCTGAACCCATTGTTATTATTGCAAAAAATAAAAGTAATTAAGGATAAATTGAATTCTTAATACCTAGAAAACTTTAAATTTGGGTATTGAAGCCACCAATATACACAGGCAGTGTCCAGAAGTCTATAAACATATACTTAGCATATACAATATATAAGGTTAGGTGAGGTATATGTGGATGGCATGAGTGGCTAAGAAATATTTCTTGACAGAAAACCAAGACTGTAACCTGAAGTCCCTCACAATGAGCAGGGGACAGGTACCTTGTTTTTTTTTTTCCTCTCAAGTAATTTTTGTTGTGTAGAAATGATTAGATTCTCAAACAGGAGCCTCAAGAGAAGGAAAGGATAATTCCTTTTGGGGAAGAATTATTTATGAAACACAAAACAAACATTTTTTTTTTAAAAGCTGGAAGTAAGGCAGTGTGTCTATTAGAAGAGGGAAATGGTAGGGAGAATCAGAAAAATTTCAGCAAAGGCTGACAGAGGAGGGAAGAGACACCGGAAGTGCGTCATCAGGGAGTAGGAAGTCGGAAGTGGAGAGGAGATGAAGGGCAGCTGGGTAGCTTGGTATCAGTAATGAGGATTATGAACAGAGCAGGGTACACTGGCTTTGGGATTCCCAATCAGACTGTGATGTCTGGTTGCTTGGCCCGAGGGGTGATTACTGGAGGACTGAGCTGACCGAAGTCCATTGGCCACTGGGAGGAGTCTTGTATTACTGAGGGCTCTGATAACTCTGAGAATTTTCTTATTTAATTAAAATTTATTCTTGTTTATTTCAAAATGTTGGATTCACTTTTAACTCAGGGATTAATGCTATCATGTAGAGAATTCAAGAGAGAAGTCTATTTCTAAAATCGATTTTAAGAGAATTAGTATTTTAGAAAAACTATATTTTTATTCACTTAAAAAAAAACTGCTCAAGTATTATTTTTCTGTGTAACATACTTCCATTCCTCCAATAGGTGGAGTGCGGGGATAGTGTGGAGAAGATTGTAGGCAATTTTGAGTTAAAAGCTCTCCATAGGAGGAAGAGAAAGGAGCCATTTATCCCCAATTAGACAGAAATTTACCCAATATGTGGATGTGTAATGATAAAGAGCTTGTAGCAAATATGTAATTGTCTTGCATGAGAAAACAAAATTATTTATACTATTAAATGAATTCTTCTTTCTGTATTGTATGTGAACTCCCCAACTCAAATATAGAGAATTTCTGATTTCTAGAGGGTAAGAATGGTTAATAACTCCTTTTCCAGTTTCTTTTTTTGCTCAACCGACTAACATAGATTTGACAGGTAGGTTTTTAAATGAATTTTTAATCTGTTGAATTAATAGCCACTTATCCATCAGTACTAGCATATTTATCACACACATGTATCAAATCACCTGGTAACATCTCTAAATAACTCCTGTTGCTTAAAAATAATGAAAAAAAAATCTTATTTTTACTAGAAAAATGATCTAGCCCAAATAGAGAGTAAACTTACATTTCGTTCCAGTTGACCAAGAAAAAAAAATTTTTTTTGACCGGAATATTTCTGTAGTTTCTCACTTGGCACAACTTCTTTCCAGCGTATGTAACCCAGCAGGAAAACAAAAATGTTTTATAGCTAAAAGAAATGATATTGATTCAGTAAACTTAACACATTGAAGGAAATAGCTTTCTAAGTGGGTCAATTATTTTTATAGTCAAAAGTCCAATGATAAACTCCCATTTGTTTGTGTAAAGTGTGCTTCACAAATTGCTTTGAGGATTTATGTTGAGCATGTCAACAGACAGCAGATAGGAAGCAACAACATTCTCCTTTGCCTGTGGTGACGACAGTTCAACAGTGCATGACTAATTCCTTTTGTGGGAAATCTGGAAGTTGGTGAAGAGGTGCCCTCCCCTAGTTGAGTGTAAAGCCAACCACATCAAAGCTGGTAGAAAAATTCATGGTGCCACTCACTTGCCAGAGTTCCTTTCCTGGCACAGTGTGGCATCCTGGAGGAAAGTCCCAACTTTTGACTTTCCCCTGGGGAAAGAAAGAGAAGGCTGGAACTTCCATCTATCCGAGGGAGTATTTTCATCTTTCTTGCATCTAAGTTTTCACAGAAAAGGGAATAGGTTGGGGGTGCTTGGAGCAAATACACCGGTTTGAACTGGTGGTTCTCACCATGGCTCTCTCCCAACTCAGCATAGAATGAATGGAAAAAAAAACTCCAACTCCCAAACTCTTTGACTTCTCCACTTATTTAAAAATACATGTTTGAATTTACAAATATATTTATATATATATTTCATTACTGATTTCTAAGACAGTCATGTTGTAGAAAGTGGGTACAATCTATGTTTACAGGTTATTTTAAATTTGTTCAAAGTTACTTTACAATGTAATTTTTTGTCACTTAAAATATGTTTTCTCCATTGAAAAGAACTTGTATTTTCAAATTATTTCCAGTAGAGCACAAGATACGTATTTTTGGAATCAAGTTTGTTAATTATGTTGGCTCCCTCTTCCATGTGTGCTGCAATTCGCCTGTTACTTAACACCTGAGAAACGTTGATGTCACCTACCATGGTAATAGCCCATCAGTTTCTCTTTGCATTTCTGTAATTTTTTTTTTTTTTGTCTTTTTCTTTTTTTTTTATCGGTACCAGGGATCGAACTCACGACTGCCTGCTTGCAAGGCAGGTGCTTACGCCGCTGAGCTAAACCCCCAGCCCCCATTTCTGTAATTTTTAAAATCTCTTCTAATTGTGATTTATGTATTTTACTAGTATGCCATGATTTTATATTTAATAGTGCTCTTTGACTCGAAATCCATTATGTTAGTTTGTATACCAATACTTGGTTGGTGTGTGCACAGTATTTACATTAAGAGGCATTGTACTTTCACACATTTCTTTGCATGGTTTTATAATAATCCAAGTTTATCAATGAGACTTGACTGAGATGAATGAAAGATAATCTAGACTGTACATATGTGCTTTTGATGGCAAATGTGACTGTTAAGGTTAATTAAAATGTGGTTTTATTCTACTCTCATTCATGCTAACAATAAGTTTACCAATTGTATGGTCAATCACTCTTTCATTGCCAATAATAGTTCTGCTGACACTTTCACTGAATCTAGGATGCTGGTCCCAAAGCCCAAGTATGTGCCGCAGGCATCATATTTTCATTACTCCGTCAAGTTTCCTTTTTTCTTTTTCTTTTTTTTTTACATTTGTCACTTCTTCACAGGGTCCAGCTCAGCTTTTATTACTGCCTTGGAAATAATGTAATATAGCCAAGTCCTCCTTCCCTCAGCCCCATGTAACAATCTCAAACCAACTCTGACTCCCTTCTGATTCAAGGAAGTTTACTTAGATACTTTAAATAAGTCTTTATGGAGCAAATTTTGTGTATTAAGAAATGTTCTGGATTGTACAGGTTAAAAAAATACAGTCCTGCACCCAAATGTGAATTGTCATTTGAACTTTGTGAACAGACATATGAGGAGATACCAATGATATTCTATTATTAAGACAATGAAATACAAACATAAAAAGAGAAACTTATCATTGATTAAAATAATATATCAATTTGTAGATACGATAAAGCTAAAAATAATTTCTATTCAATATTATGAGAAATTTAGGTTCAGTCTGAATGAACTTTTACTATAATGAATCACAGAAAGAATTTGTTTAATAGAGTGATCATAAGTCTTGTCTCTCATAGCTTGCATAGGACCTTTCCTGAAGGCAGAGCCATGAAGTATATCATAATTCAATCTCAAATTCATCAACTATTTATTTTAGAGTTCTGTGGCTTCAAAATTAGTGTAATTCACTGCCACTATATCTAGTCATTATAGCTAAAACCAGATAGTAAGTTGTCAGTTCGTTGTCTTTAGTGCCTGGTTTCTCAGTACCTATGCTCTGGAGATAACTCTGGCTTGGTTCATTTTTTGCTGTTCTTCCCAGAGGGTGGTAGGCTACCTGCAGGATGGTTTCCAGTGATCCTGGCCCCTGGTTTTCAAACCTTGTGCCATGTTTTTCCATAGGGTACCAATGTGGCAGAAACAGTGGTTTATCCCTTCCAAGATCAGGTGATGGAACACTCCTTCTTTCTCTTTGATGTTCCCTTGCTCACGAAACTTCTCTCTCCCTGATGGATCTTTGCTTTGGGGAGGCCAATTGCTATATCTTGAGGACACTCAAAGTCAGTTCAATGGCAAGAATTTTAGGTTCTCAAACCTACTTTCTGTGAAGAGCAGGGAAATGCCAACGATCTTGTGAGTGACCTTGGAAGTGCATGCTTCTGCTCAGTTAACTGTGACCTTAGTCAAGAGTTTGGCAGAGACTCCCGAGGCAGAACGATCCAGCCAGCCTGCTCTCCAGGTTTCCCACCATCACAATATGAGCTCATCAGTATTTGCTCTGCTTAGTTGTTAAATTCTGAGGTAACTTGTTTGTAACACTCAATAGCTAGGTCGCTAAGGAGATCTGTATTAAGCATACAATTTGTCACCAGTAAGATGTCTTACTGGGCTCCCTCCCCAGATCTTGTAAAGTTGATTGGCCAAGTGATTCTTTAAGAAAATAGTGGTGTCTTTTCCTATGTCTCTAGTCTTGCTTTTAAAATTTGTTCCTCTAATAAATGATATGTATAATTTTTTCTATCAATATTCTCTCTGATTATACTTTCAAACAAAGTCACTATTTTATCTCTATAATTTTATGTGTATCAGTACAAATCTGCCAATATAGTTAATAAATGTTAAAAACATTTAAAATGCTCTCAGTATTTTTACTCTGCATACAGGAATTTTGCAGAGAACAATTAGGAAAAAGAAGTAGGACAAAGAGATTAGTTATGCAAATGTAGATTAAATCTTAAATCTACTTGTGCATTTTCCATTGACAAATATGTGGAATATATATAAATATATATGTCATTATATATGAATATATAAATATACATATTTATCCTTACCTATCTACGCACTACACGCACACATACAAAAATGTTCTATACATACAGTTTTATCTGTATTTACTTAGCTACAGAGTTTTCCATGTGAATTAAAATTAAGAAATACATATTGATGGTTAGAAAACTGTAAGAATACACTCATTAGAATAGAAATTGGTTATAGTATATATCAGTTTTTACAAATTCATCATAAAGTTATGAAAAAGAAAAATACATGAAAGTACCATATCCTGGATTCTACAAAAACTATGTGTAGTAGTTTTTAATGGGTAAAACTTCCTTTTATTAACTGATAAATATTTATAATGCCTAAAATTATTATAGTTATTTATCCTCACTGAATTTTTTTTCAGTTTTAATTTGATGTACCAAATGCAATAGATATAACATGTTCATTAACACATATATTTACTATTCTCCTATCAACTTTAATCAGTATTATGTTATAGATGTAACCTATAAGAAATTTAAATTTTTATGTAACATTATCCTCAGTATGGTAGTCAGCTCACCCCAAAATTCAGTGATTACCATGTATAACTGTAGTTCATTTTTATCACAACCACAAAAATCCTTGGCTGATTTTCCTGATTCAAAGTACTACGCTCAAGAAATATCTACCCTATAATTGATGGGAATCAAGCCCCCCCATTTTAAAAAATTTTTCATTTCTCTGTGTAAAAATGAAATATTTCTCATTTATCTCTCCCTTGCTCTTTTCTCCTGCCTTCTTTAACTTTGTTTCATTAGCATTAGTCAATTAAATCTAAATAAGGAAAAACATTTTAAGATAGCGACTGCACAGGATGAATATTTTGTATTTCTGTAATGTTTTATTGACAATAGCAATTAGTGTTAGTACAGAGAGTGAAAGACAGAAATAATGCAGGAAAGAGGGTTTGCAGGGATGTTGAAGGTAGGGTAGGGGGATGGGAGGAAAAAGAATTAAGTTATATTATGCACAGATACAAATTCCCTATAATGAATGTGATCACTATGTATACCTAATATGTACCAATAATTAAAAAAAATCCATTGGAAATCTGAATTTTTAAATAGCAATTTCAAGAAATTTAAACAATTTTATGAAATGCTTCTTCTTGTAAACAAGCACAAGATAACTAACATTCAATCTAATTAGAAGTTATATAAAAAATAATTAATCCTCCTGGGGGAAGCCAGCCTCACCTGTTTACCCACGTCTCTGGGATGTTGTGCGCAGCATACACTGTGAAGCTGAGATGGGCATGGAGCCCTGGGTGCCTGGAGGTAATGCTTCTGGGTACACCCACAGGCTGGAAATCTGCATAGAAGCTGTTACAATAGATGCCAATTAGCCCGTAGATAGAGGTGGATAGTTCGGTTGTCACTTTCTCTATAAAGCCTAGGGAAGAAAAAAGAGATCAGGAAGTCTGTGACGGTTTATATTTATCATAAACTATCCATTATAGCCTTGCAATTTCTTATGATAAATTTAAATAAAATTTAATTAAAATGATCCTTTACCAACCAAAGTCAATTAGCCATCTGTGTCTCTGCAGTCTAGTTTACTTGCTAGCAGATTAGATACCAATATGCTTATAACATATATTCATTAGAAATTGTGAAAGCATACTTTTTAGTCACAAATTGGCCATTCTTTTTAGGATTAACTTGGCATTCTGATCAATTGTAGTTTGCAATAATTTTGCTTCAAATTTTTGACTGTCAAGGATTAATTTTCAGCTGAGTGCAATGGGGCAGGCCTGTAATTCTAACACTCGGGAGGCTGATTGCTGCAAGTTTGAGGCCAGTCTGGGTTACGTAGTGAGTCCAAGTCCAATCTGGACTACACAGTGAGATCTTGTGTCTCTGAGGAATCAAAATATATCATGTACAAGTACAAATTCCCTATGATGAATATGATCATTCTGTTATCTAAAGTATACCAATAAACTCAATACAGAAGTGTTAAAAAATCCTTCCAGAGTTAATTTTCAGATAAGAAAAATATTCTTACATAGTTTATAAATATTTCAAATCCAATCAAACCAATAACACTAAATTTGATTATGTTCTGAAATTCACCACTAACTAAACACTCTTATACACTGTACTGATACAAGAAAGAAAGTGATAAAATTCCATAGCTAGCGTTTCAAACAAGCTTGAAAGGAAAGATTTGTGATGCTTACCAAATCCCTTCAAAGTCAAAATGTTTATTGACTTTTACCATTCATCGTTTATAAGGGTTTTATTCCTGTTTCCCTAAAAATAAGATTCAACAGCCTAGAAAATTAGAGATCAAAAATGCCAGCCTCTATCAGCCTGTCCTCGCCTTTGCCTGTCTTATAGAGAGGCCACTGAGCAGAGAATAGTGAAGTACTGTCGTCCTAAGGACGCTGGCCATCACCATAGTAACAACCAACTGGGGCTTATTTTCCAGTTAGGTTATATTTTTGGAGAAACGTGATCTTAAAGTATTGTTATGAAAAAAGGAAGATGATAAGGTATAGGGATTAATAGTTTTCCCCTAGTAGCTGAGGAGGTGTTAAACGAACAAGCACATCATTAGGTATTTATTATGTTCTTAAAATATGCTAGGATATGGTTGCAACATATGCTGAACCGAGTCTCTAGGCACTGTTATTTATTCTAACACACGTAACTTCCTGGTACATTGCTTCTGAAACATACGTCGCCTTTTGGTTTCTGGTTGTTTTGAAAAGCAAATGGGAAAGAGCCAGCTTTCTTCCCTCAGTCGTCTGTGGGCTTCTCTGAGGTCTGCAGGGAGCAGACCGAGGCCACCGAAGCGTGGCGCCTCTTCCGGCACCCGGTTCCTCAGCAGCTGTGTCTACAATCAAATATTTTGGTTCAACACATGCCATTTTTCACTTAGTTCTTCATAAACTTGCACAAAATTGAGGATACACAAATTTAACTTATTTGCTATCTTTCTTAAATTATGCCCTTCGCTGAAATAGCTTGGAGGGGGGAAGCGCAGGGAAAGAGCTCTGATTACAGCTCACTGAGAAATCAGCAGGACCAACTAATGTAGCAGAAGAGGAAAGCAGCACAGTTTTAAGAGACCTCTGGAGGCCAATCAGTGGATATTTTCCTAAAACACGGGGGGCAGAAATTATACAAAAAAGAAAAATTATGCTTCTGGTGCTCTGAATCCGAAAGCATGAATTTCCGGTGAGTGGTTCCTGATGTAGTATAAAGGTGTCCACCAACACCCATCTAAAATACACCGTGAAGCTGGGCCCAGCAGCTGTTTTAGGGAATGGTCATATTTAGCTCGGCGGCGTAAGCGCCTGCCTTACAAGCAGGCAATCGTGAGTTCAATCCCCGATACCGATAAAAAAAGAAAAGACTAATAATAATAATTTTGATAATTCCTGAAATTCTGTTCTTCATATTTTGCATGGGGAGATAATTTGTGCTTATCATTTGCTTCTTCCAGATTGCTTAGAGATATATGCTCAGATTTTTTTTTTTAAATTTTAAAGAGATTAAGACAAAAGAGGACAGAACAAAGCAGATTAGTAGAACACAACAACGTAAGCAACGCAGCACTTAACAACAAGACAACCAGATATTAGCAGTAGCTACCATAATATCTCTTTCTTTGAAATAGTTGAGCATACCTTGTACAAAACTATCAGAAATAAAAAAAATAGTATACAAACATTCAAGAGAATGAAAGTATTACAGGGCATTCAGAACCAAATAACAGAAAATGAACAATGGCTACTATATTATCTCATTTTCCATAGAAAATTTGTTCATACTATCACACATATTAAAATCCAATAAGATACAGCATGATAGAACCAATGGAAACAGAAGAACAAAAGCATGGTAGGATTTCAAAGCAAGATGATAGTAAATCAGCAATGGTGGCCATAATGTCTTGTTTTCTTCAAAATAGCTGTTCATACCGTCACACATAACAAAAGCAAATCAAAAAGAATAAAACCATTCCAACTAATGAATGAAAACATTATAAGGCTTCAAAGCAATGTAATGGGAAATAATGATTACCATAAAATCTTATGTACTCTTAGCATTTCTTACACTAAGGAGACTATACAGTATTTATACATGCGAGTTTGATTTATTTCGCTTATGAGTATGGTCTCAAGTTGCGTCCATTTATTTATAAATACTTCAATATGATCATTCTTTATAACTAAGTAGTACTCCATTGTATAAAAATACCACCACTTTTTTTTAAAATCTATTCCTCAGTTAATGGACACTTGGGTTGTTTCCAAGATCTGGCTATTACAAATTGTGTTGCTATAAACATAGGTACAGATATATATCACTGTGGTATGATGCCTTCAGTTCTTCTGGGAATATGCCTAGAAGTGGAATAGCTGGGACAAATGGGACTTCCAATCCCAGGTTTTGAGGAATCTCCAGACTGACCTCCACAATGGTTCCACCAGTCTACACTCCCACCAGCAGTGCAGGAGAGTTCCTTTTCCCCTACAGCCTCTCCAGCATTTGATGTTGGTAGTTTTCTTGATCCTGGCCATTCTTTCTGAAGTGAGATGGAATCTCAGTGTGGTTTTAATTTGCATTTCTCTAATGACAAATGATGATAAACATTTTTTCATGTATTTATTTGCCATTTGTATTTCTTCATCTGAGAAATGTGTATTCATCTCAGATGCCATTTTAGGATTGAGTCTTTGGATTTTGGGGGTCTGATTTTTTAAAGTACTTTATGTGTTCTAGATAGAAGTCCTTTGTCTGAGGGACAGTTGACTAAGAATTTTTTCCCAACTTGTGGGTTTTTTTTTTATTATGCTGGAGATTTCTTTTGACATGCAGAAACTCTTTCACAAGACATGATCCAAGTTATTGATTCTGGAAAGTATTTCCCATGTAGCTTGATTCCTGTTCATGGATTCTCTACCTACCCCTATGTCTTCAAGATTATCACCTAATTTGTCTTCCAACAGATTTACTGTTTCTGTTTTAATATTTAGGTTTTTGAACCATTTAGATTTTAGTTTAGTACATGGTGATAGGCATGGGTCTAGTTTTAGTTTTCAGCATATGGAGAGCCAGTTTTACCGGCACCATTTATTAAAGAGACTGTCGTTCTCCCAGGGAACATGTTTGGCCCCTTTATCAAAGAAGGTGGTTGAATGTATTTGTAGTTGTGGTTTTATCTTCTAATCTATTCCACTGATCTTCAGCTCTGTTTTGGTTCCAGTACCATGTTGATTTTACTACAGTTGCTTTGTAGTATAACTTCAAGTCAGGGATTGTGATACCTCCTGTCTTGCCTTTGCTGCTTAGAATTGCCTTTGCTATTCTAAGTCTCTTCTGGTTACAGATTGTATGAGTGATTTCTCTAGATCCATGAGGCATGTTAGTGGAATTTTCATTGAGATTGCATTGAATCTGTATAACAGTTTTGGGAGAATAGCCATTTTCACAATAATTATTCTTCCTGTTTATGAACAAGGGATGTCTTTCCATTTTCTGAGGTCCTCTTCAATTTCTTTTTTCAAGGTAATATAATTTTCCCTATATAGATCTTTTACTTCTTTCATTAGATTAAATCCTAAGTATTTCATTTTTTTGGATGCTAGTGTAAAGGGCGTGGCTTTTTTATTTCTCTTCCGATTTTGATGTTAGTGTATAGGAATGCTATTGATGTTTGAGTATTGACCTTGTATCCAGCTACATTGCTTAATTTATTTATTATATTGTCTTGTGCCTGATTTTAAGGTAAAGACTTTAAGTTTTTGGACATTTAATATGATGCTGGCTGTTGGTTTGTTGTATATGGCCTTTAACATGTTGAGGTAAAGACCATCTATTCAAATTTTCTGTAAGTTTCTCATCATGAATGAGTTGGAGCTTATCCAAAGCTTTTTCTGGATTTATAGAAATGATTATGTGATTCTTACTTTTGCTTCTATTGATATGGTGGATTACATTTGTTGATTTACGTATGTTGAACCATCTCTGCATGCCTGGGATGAATCCTGCTTGCTCATGGTGTATAATCTTCTTGATGATTTGCTGCATCTTGTTTGCAAATATTTTATTGTGAATTTTTGCATTTCTTTTCATTAGGAAGATTGTTCTGCAATTCTCTTTTTTATTTGGATCTTTATCAGGTTTTGGTACTAGAATAATATTTGCTTCTAGGAATGACTTAAGAAAAATTGCTTCACTTTAGATTTCATTGAAGAGTTTGAGGAGTGTTGGCATTAAGTCTTCTTTGTTTTTCTTGTAGAATTTTGCAGTGAATCCATCTGGGCGTGGGCTCTTCTTTGTTGATAAGGACTTAATTACATTTTCAATTTCATTAATAGAAATTGGGTTACTCAGAAGTTTTACATTTTCTTGACCTGGCTTTGGTAGTTCATTTATTTGTAGGAATCCATCCATTTCTTCTGTGTTATCGAACCTATGAAAGTATAGGTTTTGAAATAGGTGTTGATGATCTTCTGTATTTTCACAGAGTCTGTAGTGATTTTACCTTTTCCATTCCTTATTACATGAATTTGAGTTTTTTCTTTCCTTTTTAAAATAAGGTTGGCTAAGGCTTATCAATTTTATTTATTCTTTCAAATAACCAACTCTTTGACTCACTGATTTTTTGGATTGTTTTCTTAAGTGTTTATTGCATTAATTTCTGCTCTGATTTTTATCATTTCCTCCTTTCTTTTGACTTTGGGATTGACTTGCTCTTCTTTTTCTAGATGTTTGAGGTGTAGCATTGGGTTGCTTATTTGTGTTAATTCTGTTTTCCTGATGTGGGAATTCATGCAATAAATTTTTCTCTGAGGACTGCTTTTATTGTATCCCACAGATTCTGGTAAGTTGTATTTGTATTTTTGTTTGCTTGTAGATATTGTTTAATCTTTAATTTCTTCTGTGATCCACTGATTGCTCGAGTGTATTATTCAATTTTCATATTCTTGTGGGGGTTTTGCAGTTTCTTTTATCATTAATTTCTAGTTTCATGGCACTACAATCTGATAACATGCATGGGACAATTTTAATTCTTTTGCATTTACTTAAATATGTTATATGGTCTGTTTTAGAGAATACCCCATGTACTGTTGAGAAAAATGTATTTTGTGATGTGTTGTTGGATGGAACACTCTGTATATGCATATGAAGTCCTTTTGTTGACAGGTGTGATTCAGTTCTTTTATTTCTTTGCTGATCTTTTATCTGATTGATCTGTCCCTTGGTGTCAGTGGTGTGTTAAAGTCTCCTGTTATAATTGTGTTATTGCTTATTTGATTTTTTTATTTTTGTTAATACTTGCTTTGTATAGCCAGGTGCTCTGGAATTTGGTGCATATATATTTAAGATTGTTATCTCTTCCTCTGGGAGTTTTCCTCTAACTAGTATGTAGTGAATTTCTTTATCTTCTCATATCATTCTTTGTTTGAAGCTCACATCACCTGCAAACATAATAGCTACCCCTGCTTTTTTGAGGGGCTCCTGTTGCATGAAGTATTGTTTTTCATCTCTTGACTTTCTGTCTATGAGTTTTCTTTTGGGTTTGATGGGTTTCTTGTAGATAGCAAATGGTTGGATGTTGTTTCTTGATCTATTCTGCCAGTCTTTTTCTTTTAATTCGTGAATTGAGACCATTTATATTAATGGTGATAACTCTTATATATTCATTTAATGTTGACATGTTATCTTTCTGCTGTTGTATCTTTACCTTTCCATTCTGTTTATTTGTTTGCCTTACTTAGTGATTTTTACATATGTGTATCTAGAATGTCTTTCAGTATTCTTTTGCAGGGTTGGTTTGGTGATCATGAAGTTCTTCAGCTGTTCTTTGTCATGGAAGTATCTTATTTCTCCAGCCACTTTGAAGGACAGTTTTTCAGGATATATCAGTGTAGGCTGGAAGTCATTTTCCTGTAGGACCTGGAATACTTCCATGCTCCATGCTCTTCTTGACTTCATTGTTTGTGACGAGAAGTCTGCTGTGATTCTGATAGGTTTTCCTTTTCTCTCCAACAGCTTGTAATATTCTGTTCTTATGTTGGTTTATGGGATGTTGATTATTATGTGTCTGGATATAGTTTTATTTTGGTTATGGCTATTTGCAGTTCTAAATGCTTCACTGACCCTTATGTCAGTTTGCATTCTCATGTTTAGGAAACTTTCAACTATTACTTCTGTAAATAACCTCTTGATATCATTTGTGTTGTCTCCTTCTTTTTCATTTTTTCCCTATCAATCTTATGTTGTCTTTCTTTGCATCATTTTGCAGCTGTTGAATTATTATTTCCTGATTCCTTGTTATTTTTAAAAGGTCTTTCCTTTCCTGTTCAATGGCTGCAATCTTGTCTTCATGGTCTGAAATTCTACCTTCACTTTCACTGATGCAGTTTGACAAGTTGCAATGGAGTTTTTGATTTCCTGTATATCTCTTTAAATCTGCTTCATGTATTCTGTTTGTTTCTTATATTGTTTACCCAGGCATTATATGTTTTTGCATTGTTCCTCTAATTTTTTAACTGTGTCTTCTTTAGATGTGTTCAGCATTTGTTTCAGTACTTTTATCATTTTTTCTTTTACTTGGGAGATTATTTCTAATTTGTGTTCCTTTATAGCTTCCCAGAGTTGCTTCTTTATTTCAGTTGCTATCATTGCAGATGTATGGCTTATATTTTCTTCTATATACATGACTCCTAGGCTTTCTTGGGATGGGATGGAGGTTTAAGATTGCATATTGGTATTTCATCTTGTCATTTTTCTATATTTCCATTATGAGTGATGTTATAAAGCTTCCCCTGGACATGTTGGTAATCGCTTCTAATGCCCTCAGCTCCTGGGACTGAGTAGATGTTGCTGAGCGTAGCTCAGTCAGACCCGCAGGAGCTTCCATGCCACCTCTGGTGTTCCAGGAAGCTGGGCAGGTTCCTAACTGCTGGGTGTGATGATCCAAAGCTCTCCCGGAGCTAGCACCCATGTGCTGGAACTCTTGTCCCGTGTCCTCAGCTCCCTGGATTGAATGAAGGTCACTGGGTGTGGTCTATTCAGGCTCCGGAAACCTCCTAAGCCTCCTAACACTATTCTTTATAGTGTTATGAAATTTTGTGTTTTCCAGTGTTTCAGAAAGCTGGTGGGCACTCAACCCCTGGGAACAAAGGTCTTAAACTCTCCCTGGGCCAGCACCAGTGTGCTGGAACACACTACTTAGAAATTATACTTGACTTGCAGAACTTTGGATGAAGATAAAGTTCATGTAACATCTACAAAACGTATTGAGGTCTCAAGATTCATGGGCTAGAAATATGTTGAAATGTTTATCACATCTGATTTTATTGAGAAAATAATTATTATACCATGACATAAATCGCTGTCTCTCTCCCTCTCCCACGTCTTCTCCTCTCCTTCCTCTCTCTATGTGATTAAAATGTACTAATTAGAATTTGTTGTGATTATCACCAAATATAAGTCTCCAGCAATAGTGCTTCACATTTTTATGGATCTTCATGCTCTTGAGGTTCCCTTGAGTAATTCTTGGAAAGGAGACCTTCTTATAACATCCTTGTTAAGGGAGAGGGAATGTAGTTCTGTGGCACAGCATCTGCCTTGCAAGTGTGAGGCCCTCAGTTTGATTCCCAGTATCAACTCCACCCCCCAAAAAAACAACATTCCTGTTAAGTGAAACAAGTCAGACACAGAAACTCAAATGTTGCATGATTTCTCTTATGTGAGAAATAATATGCAGATATATACAAAATATAGACACAAAATGAAGAGCAAGATACAGGAGCAATACATAGGATGTACAGAGAAGCTCATATATTTGCCTAGGTTACATATTTAAAAATATGTCAATATATATGCTAATTTGTTTCATATTCATATATTATTAGTTTATTTTAGTTAATTGAAAAGAAAATTTTGTGTTATTGTTTGTTCGTTATAGGAATCTTTTTAGTTTTTACTCTACTTTGAAGATAAACACACAGTGTATTAACTACCGTTATTCTTTTTAGTGTTATGAAATTTTGTGTTTTCTTAAAATAGGAAATAAATGCAGGCTAGTTCCACATCTGCACACCACTAGCTGTCCACACCAGGTGCTCTCACACAGACCCTTGCTGGGAACACTGGCAGGGGTGTCACCCTTCTGGTACTCTACCATGCTCTGCAGTCCTGAGTCCCTACGATACGCACTTAGGCACTGTCTTTCAGGGGATGAGAATTAGAATGAGGAGGATAGCCATCTTTCGGTACACATTTGATTTCCACTGTCCCCTCTGCATCCAGGATGTTAGGTCAACGCCAGGAGCCAATCTCCACTGCCTGTGCAAACAAGAGCAGCCCTGACTGAGCCTGCATGTGAAACACTATCTTATCTTTCATGCCTATTGGGAAAACTATAGATTAAAGAACTAGGTTTCAGATCACGAAATTAAGAAATGACAGGGTTGAGATGCGAGACCAGTTCTGCCTAATTTGAAGTCAAGGTCCCCTCCACATCACATGGGCACACATTTGCTATTATGGTGGAAGCAAATTTCTCCTATATTTTGCAATTTTACAGGCCCAGCATCCCTGTAAACACTAATTATTTCAGAATATACTCCTCTTACCTTTTATATAAATTAAATCTTTTGAATAAAGCTTGAATCTGCAATTAGTGACTTTGGAGACTAACATTTGTTACTTTTCTGATTTTTTACATCAAAGAATAATTAGGTGGATCATAAAATTTTATAATGTTGGGATGATTATAAGAATACTTTTAATGTTTATTTAATTTTTATGGACCTCATTTATCTAATTTTATAAAATACATCAGTAAAAAAGTTTAGAGGATGTGGATTTTTATTTCCATACATAATTATCAATTGCATAAGTAAAAATGGCTTTAGTAAAGAATTTCCCCCTCACAAATTTTTCATATGAGTATCAATTATCATAGTACTTAACTGTAACACTGAAAAAGTGATTTGACTTTATACAACTTAGTATTTGTCTTTTATTTATTTTAAATGTAGTGGAGAATATGTGTGTTTTACCTTTTGTTGAAGTCTGTGAATTCTGATGAACATTCTGAAAAATACAAATACAAAAATATGCTTGTTATTCAAAAAACAAATTTGAAAAATAATCAAAGGAGTTATTTCCAATAAAGATCAAACTTTCTCTCAGATAAGAAAAAAGAAATGCTTCTTAATATCATCATATATCTGTTGATTATTAAATTTAGGAAAAATCTGAATTAAGATGAAAAGGCAAACCTTTTATACTATAAATACAAAAATAAATGTTGTAAAGAAAAATTTGGGTGATATGACTCTCTAAAAAAAGACCAAGAAGAGACAGCCTTTTCATGTTTATTAGAATATTTCTATAGATATTATATAGTCATGGTCTCCTTTTGTAACAGTAACTAATATTCTCTCTGTACAGTGTGTCTGTTTTTTATTAGTAAATTAAATTAAAGTTGCGGCCAACACCAGAACATGAGGATGGAAGTACATAACGGCATAGTTTTCTTTTTTCTTTTTCTTTTGATTGAGGAATTGAGACTATTTACTTGAGAATTGTTACTGATCGATACTTATTCCTGTCATTCCCTTGTTTTCTCATTGCTAAATCCCTCTCTTTCTTATCTACTTTCTTATCTACTGTTCAATCTACACAGTGTATTCATTTATAAGACCTTTTAAAATCACTGTTAGCTTTGTTTCTTTCTAGGATATCGCTGAGAATTTTTTGAAGTGTGTTTGGGTGATCGTGAATTTCTTTAAGAGATCTGTATTTCTCTGTCTTTTTTTTTTTTTTTTTTTTTTTTTTGCCTTTGTGAGACAGGGTCTCACTATGCAGTTCAGGGTAGCCTTGAGCTCACTTTGCAGCCCAGGCTGGTCTCAAACTTGCAAAGATACTCCTGTCTCAGCCTCCTAAGTGCTGGGATTACATGTGTGACCTACCAAGCAAAAATCCAATTAATTAAAAACCGGAGCCCTGCTGGGCATGGTGATGCATTCCTGTAATCTCAGCACTCGGCGGCTGAGGTAGGAAGATCACTGAGAGTTCCAGGACAGCCTAGGTTATGAATTCAATCCCCGCTATTAAACAAAACAAAACAAAACAAAACAAAACAAAACAAAACGAAACGAAACAAACCCAAAGTGAGTTCAAGGCCAGCTTGAACTGCAGCTGGAGACCCTTTCTCAAAAAAGACTAAATAAATAAATAAAATAAAAAGTAAAAGCCATATTTCTTAAACAAATAACCTAGATAATAATTATTTTGAGTCAAACAATTTGCTTTGTGATTCCTTCAGAGAAGGAACATTTCTATCTTTTTTAAACTAGCATTAAATTTATATGTAACTTCCCTTGAAAGTATAATTCATATGAATCTTCTCAGAAGCATTTCTATTAGGTAAAATATTTCACCTAAGCATATCATCAACCACCAGTCTTAATGACTACACATAAAATCTTCACCCCATCCATATGGAGGAGACTATTAAAGATTTTGGTTTGACTTAACTAGATTTCAATTTATTCAGAAATTGAGACTTGTATTACAAAATCACCATGACATCCACCTACACCACTGTGTCAAAGAAGGTATTTTTCACTTTGTGATTTCTTTTTTGTACAAATGTTTAATGAGAGTATATTAGATGAGCTTCTGAAATAAGATTTGAAACACATAAAATTGTTTCCAGTGCTAAGTGGGAACATGGAACAAAGTGTAAATGCATTTGTGATATAATTTTTCATCTTGCCAAATCTACATCTAATAAATACCTAATTACTTCTTTGCATGGCAGGAAATAGTCTCTTACAAGGTGACCAAAACTGCAGCCAAGAGAAAGGAAAGCTTCTCAGATTTCAGAGTTTTTTGGCAGACAACCTGCAATTTAAGTATTTCCTTAATCTTAGGTTTGTCATGGGAAGATGGACTTAATTATTTTGGCATTGTTAACTGCAGTTGGTTACTGCACAAATTCTGCAAAATGTACTTATTAATTGGGACAGTATTCTGATATAAGTGTGTTAATAACTAATATAAGATGGAAAAATATGAGTGAAAATATGAATGCAAAACATAATGTAGAATAAGTGAAATTTTAAAGTCTACTGAAAATAAATAGGCTCTATTTGGAGTAGGGGCTACCGAATCACTGATATATGTTAAGTAAAACTCAGAATTGTCGACTCTTTTCATGATTTCCATGAATGAAAATAATTTCAGTCTTATAATACCAATTATAATTTGATATAATTTATCTTCAAAGAAAATTTATAGCAGATTTACTTATAAGTACATAAGGATTATGAAATGTGAATAAGATTTTTTTGAGCATTATAATTACTGATGGCTTTTCTAGGAAGTAACTAATGTCTTCAGAAAGAGTTCTTTTGGCTTTACATATGCTGAATGTTTAATATTTCCAAGAAACTTGTCATTTTTGTTCTTTAGAGAGTTTTAGAAAGTGAATATATTGAAGACAACACTTTTAGGCCTAGGTATTCTTTAACATTAAAGTATTTTATCCTAAAATTGTAGTGTCCTCATTCATTGACCTGTTGTTTGTTTATCATGATTGAACAAAAGCTGGACATAAAGTCCAAATAGTCTCAGCAGAAGGGAAAACACATGTCACCCCCACCTCTGTGGCAGTAGTTCACATTTGTCATAGGGCCGGTTGTGATCAATAGCCACGAGATGACATGACGTCTAACTGGTGCTTCTGTGTATTCAAGTTGACTCATGAAGAATATTCCCCAAAACTACCACCAAGACTATCTTCATGAACAATAATGTCCTTTATTCTAGTGCTGTATATTACCATTGTTTCCTTTACTCACAAGAACTCTGCAAGATCCGTTTCATTTTTCTACTTTAAAGATGAGATAAGTTCAACCCTGAGAAATGCATTAATTTTCCAGAAGATATCCAGCCAGAATCCAGTGAACCTTGACTTTAAATCATGTTTGTATCACCTGAAGTTCAATGTATTTTTATTACCATCTCCAGGTGCCTGTATTGTCTCTAAAATGTGATCTTCTAGGAGAAACTAATTTCTTACTGAAAATTACTTACTATGTATTATCTTGACTTAATTTCACTTATTGGAAGGTCTTTCTTGGTACTACATAATCTTCTAGTTTTAAAATTCATCAAAATATTTTCAAAACATACAGGTGTTACGCTTTTCAAGTTTATGGTATAATTGCTTTTCTCACTTTGATCCAGAATAAAAAACATCAGATTAAATGTGATCTCATCACACTTATCTAGCTATCATTTGTGAAAACTGTAGACATCAGCATCTACAAACAAAAATTTTGGAGAATATGTAATTATTTAATTTGTGTCTGTAATACTTGAGAGTTAAGAGAATAGATGTCTTTACCTTAAGAAAAAAATGTAGGGAAAGAAAATTAAAATAATCCTAGGCATTGAAATTGGGAATTTGTTGATTATATAATTTGACTTCTCTGTTGCATTGTGCTTTTAGCTTTTAATCTATATTTATCTTAAACATAATTATTGGTATGCCTCTGTGACTCCTCAGAATCACTGATGCACTGTTCAAGTGTTGTAAATGAATTCTTAAATTTCTACACGTGTTTTCATTTTCTATTCATATAAAACAGCTCTGATTAAAATACGACATAACCACGCATTAAGAAAGTGCTGAATTTAGTGTGAGAAACTGAAAGAATCGATAAGGATCAAAATGTACAACAACATACTGTGAAATGGGAAAAAATCGTTCAAAAGGAAAGAAGAACTAGAGTGGGGGAAAGGGGAAAGCAAGGATGGCCAAAGAAATAACAATTTTTTTAAAAAGGAGAAAAATGGAAACAAAGCTTTGTAAATAGGGAGGGAAAGATGGGTTGAAGGAGGAGAGGGGGCTCGGAAAAAAAGAGAAATCAAAATATATCATGTATCACAAATTCCCTGTGATGAATATGATCATCATGCATGTCTAAAATGTACCAATAAATTTAACACAAACAAACAAACAATAAATACATAAATAAATAAATACATAGAATAAAAAGGCAGGGGAAATCCAATGAACTTAAAGGTAAGTGGCTATAAATTTAAAGTGGCTGCCTAATTTAAAGATGAGGGAAAAATAAATTTCTAAAAAGTGAAAACTTCAGGATCTTAGGAGAGAATATATAAAAAATTTAAAATGTATATTTGAATGTACAGAAAAATACATTTTTAAAATACAAGGTTACTAAATTCTTATAGCTATTAATACAATAGTCAATAACACTCTATCAACAGTTGACTGTAATAGTATCCTCTTAGTCACAATTTTGCTTTCCAAAATTCCAGTTACTTGTGGTAAACTGCCTTCCATAAACAGTAAGTAGAAAATTCCAGAAAAGATTCATAATTTTAACTTGTTTATCATATTACATATTGTGATAGAATCTCTCTATCCCTCATGTTTTCGCACCTAGGATTCAAATCACCTCTTTATGCAGTGTATTCACACAGTACATGCTACTCATTCAGTAGGCACTAAGTACCTGTCTGTGTTATCAGATCAGTTTTGCAGGGCTTGTGTTCAAGTAATGCTTATTTTATTTAACAATGGTTTCAAAGTGCCAGAGTAGTGATATTGTCAATTTTATTACACTATAATTTAATCATTGTTCTACTTTATTATTGTTAATCCCTTAGTGTGTTAATTTATTAGTTCAACTTTACCAGAAGTAGGTTTATATAGGAAAAAACATGGCGTATGAAGGATTTGACACTTTTCGTAGTTAGAGTACTCCCTGGGGATCTGAGACATATCCCTGAGGATAAAAAGGAGCTACTCTATTATTATGATTTTAAATCTTCCTGCTTCATCATCTGCTGCACTAATGATGACAGATTTATCATTACTCAGAATTACTAATACTTTTCTTGGGCAATAATCACAGTCATTCCTTTTTTTTTTAATCTGAGGTTTAAAAATCACCACATGATGACTGTTCTCAAACTGGGAATCAGTGTTGGAAATTCAGTCATAACTTCCAGTAACAGAGTACACTGCCAATTCAGAAAATAACATTAAAGAATCTTGATCTGTTCTTTCAAACATATGTGTATGTATATAGCATATAAGCAGTTATAACTGCACAAATCAGTGTACAGGGACCCATTAGCAGATTATACATACACCTGAATGTGAATATGATGTAACAAAGATTGATTTCAGTTTCACTTAGATGTTACAGGTTAGTCCCAAACTTCAAAGATATAAAACATTCTCTTCTTAATGATCAAACTTTCATTATCCCTAAATGAGGAAACTGACTGATTACATATCACAAACATGCAAGTACACACATATACAAAGATGAATAGTTGCCAGCCAGAAGTCTTATCTCTTTAATTAATTATCAAATGCGTATTTAATGAATCAATGTGTGAGAAATGAATATATTTACCTCCTCTGTTTTCTGAAGAATTAGTTTTAGTTCATTTACTGCATCTGTAATTTGTTTGGTTTCAACACATCCGAGGATACTGCATAGATTTTTAACTTCTTCTATAACATTATCCACATATTGCTGTAGGTGACAAGATGCACACATTACTGCTTGTTAAAATTCACAGGGCACTAAAATACATTGAAATTACTTCTCTTTCCTTAAGAAGGAAGTGAAATAAATGTGGTTGACTGTTCCCTCGTAAGAAATTCCCAAGACTCTGGTTAGCCTGTGATCTACATCACAATTTACACTGAGTGAAAGCTCTAAGATAGGAATAACTCAGCATTAATTTATTCACTTTATTCACTTATTAACTCAATTAATTCTAACATAACATTAGTTGAAATGAAATATGACCAAGGGAGAATGACAGAAGGGTAAAAGGAAAGAAAGAGAGAAAAAGATATAAATTCACAACAGAAAATATTTTAAGTCTATTTATTATAGACTATTTTATTAATGATGCATTACCAATATAAAGACATTAGTTTTACATTAAAAAGACACTATTTCTCTTTCTGGAAAAATTATACTTCCTAATATGTTACCAGTACTTCTCATGTGATTACACAAACACTGCAAATTTATGACAGAAACCTGGGTAGAGCAACTGATACTATGGAAGACAAAACAGATTTCAAAGATGTTAGCAAAGTTGGTCATAAAGATTTAAGATACATTTTTAGTTTTTAACAGGTTAATAATCTACAACTACTTATTGTACTATAGAGGAGACAACTCTCTGAATAATTCCCATAAAAAAGTCATGTTTTAACACCGCGTGATTGTGACGTGGTTACCGGAAAAATGGGTTTCATTAATAAAATGAATCAAAAGATATATAAATTCAGTAACTAGAAAGTTACAAATGTATCACATTTTAAATGTACAGCATCAATACTGGATATCATATTTGAGCATGGACTCGATATGTTGAATTTTTCCAAAGATCAACCCTACTATTAATACACTTAAATGCATACGTTCCTTCACAACAGCATAACGGACAATATTTTCAGTTCTATACTCAGGTTGCACGCGTTTAAATCCTGATTCTTCTGCCTGTGACCATCATTACCATATTTAACGTCCACGTACCCAGGTTCTTTCTTCTATGAAGTAGGACCAATAGTAACTAATTATAAATCTATTATAAAGATCGAATAACATAAACTATGAAAAAATACCTGCTAGAGAATAATGGTTAAATTTTTATATTTAATTAATGTTTAGTCATTCACATGGATGTCTCATTTTGTAAGAATAATCAGACATTCCATATATACAGTTAGATAATGAACTAAAAGTCATGAAACTACAAGTAAGGTACATATTAGGTGCTATGTTTGTTTTTCATTCATATAGTCTCACCTGGTATAGTATACAAATGAATTTTTGACAAGTCATGATTATTCCTAATTAAAATGCAAATACTAGGTTAACTTGGGTCACTAAGTAGAAGTAGCTAATTTTCAGAATCTACTATACCAATCTTACAGTGCTTCTTGTCTGATTTATTTTTTCATTTAATATTCACAAATCTCTGAAAAATAAATATTATATTCATTATATTCATGAGTCAATGAGTTTGCCAGTATATTTTAAGCAAAGTACTGCAATTATAAAATTAACCTGGTAATTACCTGAATATGAAAAAGCAGCAGGAAGGCAGGATGTAAAGTGATCCTGCAGTTTTGTATTTGGGAAACGAAGACTGTATGATGGCATTGATCACAGCAGAAACAGGCACAATGGAAAGAATGTCAGTACGATCACGATTCACGTTTTTTGTTTGTTTGATACACAGAGCTTTAGTTGTGCAGGGGAAGTGCAGGAGACACTATCTGATAACTGTTGGAAGAGAAACATAGATGCCCTACACACAGGCATGCATACAAAAAGACACACACACACATGCACACACTGAATGTGCATATAAACACTAGATGAGCCGAGCAGTCAAAAATACATATAAATGCAACTGTAAAGCATTAATTTGTATCATCTACAGTTGGAATTAATGTTAAAAATTGCAACATACTAATATCACTATGTTTGATCCAGGCAGATGCAAATAGAAAAGTTCAGTATAGAAATACTTATCTAACTTTAAACCAGTTTATCCCCAAATGCATACACAGATACAGGTGCATGTACACTTATGCACACAAGGTGTAAGAGGAAGAAAAAAGCAGCTTGATACACATCATGAGGACCTGTACTAGCACAAAATAGTAGGATTTTTCGAAGATAATCCATATTTCACTCTCAGATTTAGCCAGATTTAGGCATTGCTTTCACAGACATGATACCTGGCTAGATCTTGAAGATGACTACCCAGAACGAAAATAGAGACGAAGGAAAGAAAAGTTGAAAATTGGGTATATAATATTTTAGAACATTTAATATTTCAATGATGGAGGGGAAAGTTTGGGTTACAGATGAATAACCCAAAGTGTGGAGTCACGAGTCTCAAGACTACTGGCTAAAGAATGAACACTGACATAAAGGGAGTTGATGGTATGGAAATTTTCAGGTTGGAATAAAAAAGAAAAATTTTCAAGTATTTGACAGCCTTTCAGGAAGAAAGTGGATTTGATTGCTATAAACATCTCGAAAATGATAAATTAGAACAAATTTAGATAGGTTTGCAGGATGTGGTAGCCCTGGCCCATTTTAACCCCAGCACATGAGAGACTGAGGCAGGGAGTGGTTAGTTCCAGGGCAGCTTGAGCTCCTGTCTCAAAACAAGAAAAAAGAAAAGTTCACTTTGGTTCAGTTTGGAAAACAAAATCTTTGTTAAAATTATTTCTTCAAAACTTAAATAAGATGTTCGTGAGTTAAGAGTATCCTTCCACATTACGGGAATATGCAGAAACAAGAATTATAGGAAGAAATACGTTGAATAAAGAGTTTGGACTAAACATTTTCTGAGTTGTTCTAGTTATAAAACTAAAAGCAGTTGCATATTATTTTGTATGCTACAAACAAAGCTTATCTTAGAAAGTATTTCCTGTATTGTAGAAAGAGCAATTTTCTGATACTTTAGATATCAAGCACAACTAAAAAGTATTTTGAACATTGGACAAGTCTAGTGATAAACTTTTTTTTTTCTCTGCATCTTCCTAGAAAATAATAGAAATACCAAAAGTTTCATTTAACTTGGATAGAGGCCAAAGTAATATACATTTAAACAGTCATATAATAGCTTACCACCTTCCAGATTTCATAGAGACTTTAATGAATTTTTCAAGTTTCAATTTTATATGCATACTGAAAATCAGCAAATTAAATGAAAGAGTTTGGAATCACACTGAGAATTCAGAATGTTTTTCATTTCATATATAGTAGCTATATTGCTATCATTAATTTTTTAAAAAATATCAATGTAGTCTTTGGAGTTACAGTTTGGTTGAAAATGAAAATTCCATTATAAAAATTTCAAAAACTAGGCAATGTACAGACTCCTCCCATTTTGCCATTCTAATAGATAAGGCCACAAGGTGAAATAAATGAGGTGAATTACAGAATGACAGGCCACTCTTCCAAGCAGAGATGGAACAAACAAAGTGTCCAATGCTTGCCAGAGCATAGGAAAAAAGAAAAGGTTATCATATACATGAGTAAGAAGAAATCAGAAGACATTTAAAACATTTTAAAAATCCAAGTTCGAGTTGCATGTAATTTTGGAACATTAGCTAATGCTCAGCATGGGGGAATTTAAAATGAAATGCAAGTTCTTTTCCTTTTGGACCTAATAGTGTTTGAGGGGTGACACTGAAGGCAATGCACAAAGCTGACAGCCCATTCGGTGGCATCAATATGCAGCTAATTTGCTATTTCTGGAAGACAACTAGCACATAACCCTGCCCACATTTTGTGGATGCTTCTCTCATAAAAAGTGGAAGCTGCAAGGAAAAGGGACAGGAAGTTCTGTCGCTTTGAGTTCAGGGAACAATTCTTTGCTTGAGGAACAGTTGTTGAAAGCAAATGACTCTGCTATAGGGGAAGAAGTTAGGAACATCCTTTGTTGATGAAGGAAAGGCAGAAGCAAAATCCTTTCAGATGTGGGAAAACTGTCTTGGGACCAGGACTTTATCTAGATGCCAGGAAGGGCAAGAAACTCTGCTGTTTAGGACCAACTATAGATATAAGGAGGAATTTGGCTGCCCTGTGTGGGAGGGAGAGAAGTGCTCAGAGAGTCCCTGTCTGATGCCCAGGAATATAGAGTCTCCTTGAGACTCCCTGAGGTTGGATTACTACAACACAAAACTCCTCTGACTCTGCCACCAGATGAGTCTGTCATTCAGCTGTGAGAAAGAGCAGGGAGAGGGCAAAAGTATGGAGATAAATGCTGTCTCTGGCACAGGTAAGCAGAGACTTCTGAATGTTGAAAGTATGGCGGCCATACTAAGAAATTCCCCTTTCTACCACAACCATTCCTAAGTGGATAGCGCCAGCCAATCCTACATGGTAAGAGAGCAACAGAAGAAAATGACCATTTCCAGGCAGGCATATAATTTCACTTGGTCTTTAAAACTGGTTTACACAAGATGTCTAGCATCCAATGATCAATTGAAATTTACCCAAAACACCTAGATAATACAGCCCCTTTCAGTAGGTAAAGTCAGCCAGTGAAGTAACCCAGATGTTTGTTTGGTCAGATGGGGATTTTAGCTGTCATTAATTTGTTACAGAATCCAGTGGGAAATGTGGACTGCAATACATGAACAGATGGAGGTTTCAGTAGAAAATGTAAACAGAATCAAATGTAAATGATAGGATAACATTATATATGATATTAGAAGTGAAAGATTTCTTCAAGAACTTATCAGTAGACTGAACGCAGCTAAGGTAAGTATCAGGGAAATTAAGGATAAATCAAGAGAAGTTATCCTAACTGAAACAGAAAGAAAGGGAAAAGAGTGTGTGGCTGGATTAGACACCAGGACACAAGATTCAAAGCATATCAGTCAGAGTCATTTATTTAACTAGACTTCTGGAAAGACAAGGATAGAACAGATAGGTACTTAAAGAGATAAAGCCCAACATATCAAAATTTGTGAGATGCTGCTAAAAGTGGGAGGCCAATTTATGACTCTAAAACTTAAAAAAATGAATAGTTCAATTTCAATTTAAAAATTGAATTTATAGCTAACATACTTCCTGCAAGGAGAATTCAAGATTAGACAATTTTGATAGTGAGTGAAATCACTTAAACAAATGATAAAACCAAGTCTACTCAAATGTTTTCAGAATATAGAAGAAGAGAGAACACTTTACAGCCCATTTTTACAAGACCAGTATTAACTCTACCACTAAAATCTGACATTATAAGAAATAAAACTATAGTGTAACATCCATCATAAATAGAGATGCACTATCCTTAACAAATTAAAACTAAGAATAAATGAAAAGGATTACAAACTCTTAGTAAATATGATTTATTTCAGTAATGCCCACTTTTAAAAATTCAAAATGCAAAAGAAAAACCATGCACAACAGTGTCATCCATTCAAGAAATTCTTAAACAACTAGCAGTAGAAGGAAACTATTTCACCCTATAAAAGGCAACTGCATAACTTCGCAACTACAGAACTTCTGTAATTGTATACTATTGGTGAGACTATAACATTGTCTCTAAAAATAACAAGTTTATTTTTACTGCTTGTAGTAAAATTCTTATGGAACTCTTGGAAAGTATTTAATAACAAATAAAAGCTCTATTATTGGAAAGAAAATCAAAATTATGTAAAAGATGGCATGACCATTTCATAAATAAATGCTTAAATTTATGGAACAGAAGATGGAATCTAGAACTTGTTCTATGTATGTGTAACGGATTGCTTTGACAGTGTTGCTAAGATTATGCAATAGAGAACAGGGTTTCATTTTAAATAATTGCTCAGGAATAACTGGTTAATTCTGAAAAACAAAACAGGCTTGGGTATTACCTCTTAACCACATAGGAAGTTTCTTGAAATAGATAATAGAATTAAATAATGGCTACAACTATAGTCATTTAAAGAAAAACTAGAGAAAATTAATGCAAATTTGAGTAGGCAGATCTTTAGTACATGATATGAAAAAGGTCAAAAATATAAAATAAAAATCTGGAATAGAGTTTATAAAATTAAATTCTTGAGCTTTTTGTATGGCACATAAGTAAATGAAACAAGCAAATACATTACAGATTGAGAGAAAATACATTTAGTATATAAGTCACATATCTCACAATGTTCTTACATTTAGAATATGTAAGGAATTTTATAACTCATAACCATAGGATATATAATTGTATTAAAAATGAGCAAACCATTTTAACAGACACTTGCCAAAAGAAGATATATGAATGGTCATGAATCATGTGAAAAGTAATTCAACATCTTTGATGATTAAGGAAATGAAAACTTAAAACAAGGAAATTGGCTGTGTAATGGAATGGGTAAAATTAGAGTACTAATAGCAACAAGTGTTGGGATATAGAACAACAGGGACCCTTAAGCTGTTGGAATATGATTCCATTTAAATAAGATTCTCAAAAAGTCAGAAAGATGCAAAATGAGAGACAAATCTTTGTTCATATGAGGTCTAAGTATGAGAGGAATTTACTACTGCAAGACATTTGGGTACACTGTGTTGTAATGAAAATATTTTACATATTTTTCTAGTCATAATTATCAAGGTATATATACTTCCAAATTTAGTCCAACTGTCCATATAACACGGATACATTTTACTTTGTATGAATTAAACTTTGAGAAAGTTGATTTAATACATAAGACATCACAATGAAGGTAAAGAGATAAACTATCAACTGGCAAGCGAGGATACATGTAACTGAAATAAATAAATATACAAAGTATCTCAATAGAATAAACATGGGAAATGGACAAATGTAGATTACAAAAGAGGAAAGTTGAATCTTACATTTTTTAAAAGCAAACACTTTTGTGTTGATACTTTCCACTAAAGAGTACCTATTATTTAAAGGAGAAAAGAATTGAAATGGTGTTTTATTCCTTAACTCATTGTTCAGAAAGAATGACACTTTATCCTTAGTCTTTAATTTGTATATATTATTATATGTTCCTCACAAATTACATAATAAAAAATTTACATGATTCACATTACAAACTCCAATTGGAGTATCTGATATTATTGCTTTCCATAAAGCTCTCCAGTACTGTCTGTCTCATTAGCAACCCAAGCTAATGAAACTGATTATTTACCATTATGAAGATCAATTTTAATTTTTCATTTTTTTTATTCTTTTGCAGTCTTGGAGTATTCTATAGATGATACATTTTAGAAGTTTCAATCTTCCCTTTTTCTGCTAAGGTATGCTTCATTTCCACAATTGTACATTATTTTCCTCTGACCTGATTTTATCTCCTTTATCTTCTTGCATTCTCACTTTGTGAGCTTCAACTGATCCTTGATTTCTGTTCATTTTATCCTTTTCCCTTCTTACAAATTTTTGCTCCTTTCTCACTTTTTCTTACTAGACTTTGTGCATGTAAATCAACTGTGAGGCATAATGCTCCTGGGTCCTATGTAATTCTCAACTACAGTAGTGGGGATAAAAACAGTGACAGAACAGCAATCAAATAATACCTGTACTTATAGACTTGAGCATTTTCTTTCAAACATTACATTATATTATGCACACTATATTGATTGTTTAATCATTAAAAATACATAAATATCATTATATCATATTTTATTACACTCACTCTTGTTATGAATAATATGAACTCTAGGAAGGCTGCGTAAAAACCTCCAGGTTGGCAAAATATCTATCTGACTTTGGAATCTCTGCTTTTACTAAATCCTGCTGTATATACCTATTCTGCTTAAATTAGCGTAGAAATGGAATGTCTAAAAATCTTGGTGTTACAAAGAGAGCTTCAGCTCTTAAAAAAATCCAACAAATTAAATATATTTCATAAAATTACATATGTCTCTTCTTTCATCTACTTCACCTTTACTTCAGTATTTTCTAGATTCTGATGTTAATTTGCCATCAACGGTAGGCATTGTTAAATTTCTCTAATCAAGCTTTTGAATAAGAAATTTGAAGACAATGTATTAAAGTCTTCTAGGAAGAGGAGATTCCTCACCCAGAAATTGATTTCTTTCCTCTAAGCTGAGAGCTGGCTTTGTCCTGCACTGTTCTGTGCATAAAGCACTCTGCATAGCTGCATACATTATTCATATCAATGTGCAACCTCTTCAAACAGAACATCAGGCTATGACTCAGTTTTCAGTTTCTCTTTATCCCAGTGAGGAAATACATCAATAATAACTTATGAGATTTCTCTCTCTCATTTTGTTCTTAATTTATCTGAAATATTAAAGATGAAGGCAGAAGACGGAATAAACACAAAATGTGTTCCTGACAGTTCAAGATATTACTAGAATAAATGAGATGAAGAAAAACTACAATTGAAAAGCTCTAGGTAAATTACCTACAAAATTAACTATCTAACAGAAGAGCCAGAATACTCAGTCTGAAATGAGAAGAGTTTAAAATATTTTAAAATAAATTAATTAAAGGAAGGAAAATATTTGATAATTTAAATGACCCATATTGTTCAGTAATATTCATGACACTTATTCAGCTGCATATTTATTATTATTTAAAGTCATTTATAATAATCCACATTTGGGAGATGTGCTACAAAATTTTCAAATTGATATTGTATGGACACTTAAAATGCTACTTACTATATTTGTCAAACATATACAAAGTGCAAAGTTGTGAACTGATAATATATTCTGTCTTCAGTTCTCACATATTTACTATTGATATTTCATAGAGGAAAAAACTCATTTAAAAAGCTCATTGATTCGAATTGAGCCCATCTGGAAAACTGCAAACACTGTGCCCTATTTATAAAATAATTTAGTTGAAAATGATGATCATTATTTTCCAGCTGTAATGTAAAGATCATTTTTCTTTGACACTTTGCCAAATGTTAAGTCATATTGGAAAAAATTCACAATGGTCAATGAAACCTTTCAAAGTAGATATACTAGAGGCTTCATATATGAGTAATGTGAGCAAAATTCTAAATTAGGAGATAAAAGATGTCTAAAGAGTGACAGAAAAATATGATGGATGTTTAATTAAAACCTTAACACAGTAAAATACATTGCTGAGAATGAGATAAATGTGCTTGGATTAAAGGGAAGTATTCAGAGAGGGATTAATGGCAATGTGTCTTTAACTGTAATACGGTTTTACAAATTTAAACATTCACTGTTGTTTGATCACCTCTCATTGATCAAAGGTTTATGACAGTTTTTTAAAAATGAAAACATTATGGTGTGTCCTCTTCTCCTTTATGCACTGAACTTAGCACTTTGGGACTTCCTGCTCTTCCCCATATTCATAATGGCCATGAAACATATACATTTTTATTCGATTTACAACATTAAGGCAGCTATAACTGTGCAAATGAAGACATGAAATAGAACTTCTAGAACTGCTTTGGGAGGCAGCAGGAATGATGGGATAAATATGTCTAGGGTGAGGAGGTATATTTTGTGAATGAATGGTAAGGTGTATTTTAGTGTAAAACATTTTTAAAAATTTAAACTCACAACTCATTTTTAAATCACACTTCGTATGCTACATGAGAAAGGCTGAGAAAGATAATGAAAACTCACTCATAAGTATAACCTCATACCACGTCAATTTTTCAAATTTTGTTTTTTGCATTGTCCAGTTTCCCAAACCCTCTCCCTTTACTAGTATGATTACTAAACTTTATGAATATCCAGATAGCTACTTAACTGTACACTGTTGCTGTTGAATACTGTTCTACTGTTAGGGGAGATAGTTATTCCTTTTCGTATATTTTTAATGTAGTAAGACTGTAGGTCAATATTTAGTTTGTCTTATGTTCAAATTACAATTGTAGATCTCTAGAGAAGTCAAGAGATATAATCTAGCTATGGAGTCTTAATGTGTTTTTATAACAAGTCTGAAAACTCAAATAGGTACTAAGAACCATTTTTCTATGAGACTCACAACAAACTAACTGTGGTTTCTTTGTACCTTCAAGGTTTTAGAATTCCAGTTTCAAGTAAGACTGAAGAAAGAAAAATGAAATTAAAGTGAGAGTATTAGGAATATGAATTATTTATTTATCATCCCCATGCCTTTCAACATTTGCTTGGAATTCACAAATGAGTGTGGGATCCACACCAGAAAGTTCAATTTATTATTTTCGGGTTCCTCTTATGTTCACAGATATTAGCAATAGTTATCTGAAATGTGTATCATTTTACATATTGAGTGAACTATTTAATGGAAAATTAAGTAGTCATTTGCTTTAAATATAATCCTTGGTTCCTACAATTTTCTGTAATAATATAGTGCTTTATTTGTACTAAACCCTGCCTGGATGAAGAAGCTGCAGGAACTGGTCTCCCAATGGAGATCACAATTTGGATGCTCCACAGGTGATTAAATTGTAGCAGCCTTGCAATGCCTCCATCATTTTTACTGTCCAGCGAGTTTTTCCTCTTTCTCTGTAGCCAGCAGAGCCCTCCATGCACAATAGCCAGGAAAGCTGCAGTTTCCCAGGCATCCCTTTACTTTGTTTCTCAGTCTTTCACTGAGTCATATAAATTGCATACTCTCACCTGTTAGCAACCTGCCCCTTCTATCCCTTCCTAGAGCAGTTGAACCCAAGCCCTCATCACCACTGTAGGCTAATGAAATGGTCCCCTAATAATCCATCAATCATTTTGCTTCTGAATGTCAGCCACTGATAAATTAGAAAATCATTAAATTAGCCATAAAACGTCCTTAAGATTTTATGCAATTCAGCCCTTGTCTGCTTCTCTCCTCTGGTCTCTTTCCAAGCTCTCACCTTGAGATCTTCCTGTTACCAAGCAAAATTTTATATAGTTTCCAAACCAGGCTGTTTCCTGACTGCTAGGTTATCTATTCCCGCTTCTCATCTTTCTTGAAGATTCTTTTTCTCTGGATATTAAAAAAATACTAACTTTTATACAGACAGCTCAAACAGATAAAGTTCTTCACCCTTTCTGATGTCTCCTGCATAACACAGGTGTTTTGTAACACTAAGGCAATAAGTTAACAGAATTTTCAAGCAATTAATGCTTATGTCAGGGCCAAACAGTAAACAAGCAGTCCCGACTCAAGAGTACCAATGTATAACTGAGACTGAGGTTAACAGGATTTCAAAATAGCCCCCTTTAGGTAGAATAGGAGAAATAAATAAATACTAGGTAGAAAGGGGACAAGGAAATCAATGTGTTAAAATTGTCCTTTTAAGGAAAACTGTAGCATCAGGACAAAAAAATTTACTCAAGTCTTTTTATCCCTTTCCAGGAAACTTAAAAAAAAAAAAATTCTGAGAGGTCCCTTTTATCATAGACAGGTAAAAATATTACAGGAAGGCAGATAGGGCTGCTCTCTCATCTGGGGCAGAGATCAAAAATCATTACAACTGTGGCCACAGGCTCATCTGTTGAGACCAGGCCTCCAGATAAAAAGAACAACCAGACCAGAGATAAGTGGCAACACCTGGTCTAAGGATGACAGACAGCAATCACCTCTTCCCTCAGAGTCATCACTTCCTGTGAAGTTCTTTGTTCTATCCATGCACATTTGCTTCATGACTTGCTTGCTACTTAGATTAATATTATTTAGGCAACTATACTTGTAATTTTGTTGATTGATCATAACTATAACCCACATTGTACCCACGTAGTTGTGCTCTACAAAACTTCTCCTGAAAAGTGGTGTCCTTGACAACCCACCTGCAGGCCTCTCTTGTCTCTCTGGAATGGTATCTTTCCACAATAAATATTTCTATTCTTAACCTCCATTGTTCTTAAAATTCATTCTTCGACTTTAGAGAACACAAACTTAGTGTATCAGAATCTAGCAGGTTGAGAATTATGATGTTTCCCTTATATAGGTCCCAATATCATTCCTGTATCATTTTTATAATAAATCTCTTAATCTGGGTTCTTAACCTGTCTTTTTCACTTGTAAAGTCCACTTCCTCCATCCTCAGGAAGCAGTAATACTGGGGGCAGCAGATCTCATATTCAAACACAGTAGGTAGTTTGCATAGTAACCTGATGGACAGAATACTGTACACACCCTGCACCATCTATCTTGATAATACCCACCCCACAAATGTACCCAGCTAAGGTGTCTCATTTCTCTGAGCACCCACACTCTGCTCTTGAGTGCATTCTATGTCTCTCCCTTAGAAACCCTTCTCATGTCTTCTTTTTTGATACATTCTTTTTCTGTGGTGGGAGTCAGCAAACATGCAAACTGATTTTATCAGGTTGGGATAGGTTCTTGATTTTAGCCTGGGGAACCTCTCAGACAGCCTGGTGGCGGCCTGATAGGAAATAAGCTAGCAGGTACAGTATTTGGTGATGAAAGTAAGAAACAAATCAAATACTGTAGTTAAAGTATTACAGACAGCTAAATTAGATAGAAATTAATATGCAGACAGAGATTGGGCCCTCAAGAAAGTCAGCATTAAAAAAAACATAGACCACAGAATTGCGGCTGGACACAATTAGTATCATCTGGTCCCGTGGGCCAAGATAATCATCATTCACCTAAGTGGTGGTCAAATACCTGGACCCAGAGTTTTCACTCTGACCTCAAAATGCCTTTGTTCTTTCCATATACCCTCGCTATATAATGCGATTCCCTATTGGATGAGAATTAGCTAAGTGCCTCTACTTGTAATCTTATAGGTTGATTAGAGTCTGACCCATACTGTAAACCGCATTTTGGTTTTTGATGTATAAATTACCCCTGACAAAGGACTTCGGTGGCCACCCACTTGTGACCCTTCCTGGAATCCCAGGAACTATTTCTTTCCCCCATATTTGCAATAAAACTCTCCTAACTTTCCCTTTGCTTCATGACTTTGTTCCTTGATATTGAGAAACCACAAACTTAACACATTTGACATTTGACAGATTGGAAGTTACATTTTTCCTATATCAAAAGGAGCAGACCACACATTTCTTTGGGAAAGAAAGCAAATAATTAATCAAAGGAGCAAATACACACGTCTCTAAGAAAAGGAAGCAGGTTGTATTGGCAAACTGGATTTCAAGAGTACAAATAACCCAGTCCTGAGACCTCTATCCCCCCTTTTTTTTTTTAAAAAAAAAATGTTTTTTTTTTAAAAAAAATACATTTTTTTTTAAAAAAATGTTTTTTTTTAAAAAAATACATTAATGGCATTCCTTTGAGGTCCCATAAAATTTAAATGTCTTCTTCCTGTAGAGTGGCTTTCTAGCCAAGCTTTGCTGTCCTTAACTAGACTATTCGTACAGGAACCAATTTCACTGTCTTTTATGGGTTTGTGTCCCTAAAGAAGCCAATGGTGTTCTTTTCTGTGATAAACTTTCCCATTAGCCTTGAACCTGGCCTGTGTATGGTTTCCATCTTATATAAGAAGACTTTCAACCATCTAAAACTCTATTGCATGTATCTTTTCACTAGGCTATTTTTCCATGGTGGAAGTAAATAAAATTGCCTCTAATACATTCATCTTTTGGTTTTCAGAAACTTGCAAAGTTTTATAAAAATAAAAAAATTCCCTACCTGGTTTGTCAATAGGTATTTTAGGTGGAAGTCATATTTTTTTATTACAGTTGACAAACATTGTCTGAAAAGAAAAGAAATTTAGTTAAAATTTGGTGGTGCATTTTATACTACTTTGAGCACAAATATTTACAACTGTCTTGTTCACAGTTCAATGATAGGTAAGGCATAAAAAGAAGTACACTTGATATAATTTATAAACATTTCATATGAGTGTCTTATAAAGTTTGTATAACTTGATAGACCATAACTCTTTCCAAAATATAATCCAGATTCAGGACAACTTAAATTTCTCTAAGTATGACTGGATTCTAGGGTTTTATTTTATTTTATTCTAGAGCTTTGGTGTCTGGAGCAAAGAATTGAGTGAGACAAGTAAAAAAAGGTAGCAGAGTTTTATGTTCATTAAAAGTAGGAAAAGAGGAAGGCCACCGAGGAGCTCACGATGTTAATAGTAGATGTTTTTTTTATCTCTCCTTCTTCAAACTGAAGTCAGATGTAGGAAAATTAAATGATTCCAAAGACACTATTTTGAGACTCCTGATTTGGAGCTGGTTAGTCAGAAGCACAAGTAAACCCCAGAGAGGTTTGCAGTTGGCATCTGAAATGTGTTATACGTGCTGCTGAGCACTTAGGAGACTAGACCCTCAACCTGCAGGACCTGACTCTATCTCAAGGTAGAAGCTGTCAGAACTAAATTGAATTTCACAACCTCCAACTGCTGTCCTCTAAAGTTCTGACTATTTGCTTGCTGAAGGGGAGTAATTCCCATACTCTTGAGGGTCACAGAAATCTAGGTTGATTGTAATATTGTGGCAGCAGAGGAGGAGCAATCTGTTTTCAATTTGAAAGAGAATGGTAATTAGCATCAATAAATGTGAAATACATGAAAAGTTATGGAGAATTGCATTTGGAAGCAATGCCAATAGCTTAACAGAAAGGATGGTCTTTTCACCAAACTTGAGCCTTTTTCTTCCCTGAACTTCTTTTCCTGTTCCAACTTTATCCATGCTTAGGTGGAAGAAAGATGATTGAGTAGACATTCTTGTCCACTTTGCTGTTCAAATCATTTTCTACATTATGATCCTTACCTCCTTATTTATACTAAAAACCTCTGAATTCAATAATGAATTATGTAAAAACAAAAGCAGCATTAAAAACCCATCAGTATATTTTACAACAACTGCCTTTTCATTCTCTGTGGTTCTATCACTTTAGATGGAGCCATTCATCAGCTCTGAGATAAAATACTAATAAAATCCAAATGATGATGGAAATACAGGGAAAGAATCATGTTTCAAAATTATAAAACTTGTTTCTAAAACTGACAAGACTAAGCTCTCTCCCTTTCTATCTCTCTCTCTCTCTCTCTTCTCTCTGCCCATCTTTAATTTTTTTCCTAGATAAATTTATTTTTTTATAAAAGGAAGCTACAGCCTTTGTTAATACAACATATACACAAGAACTCATACCTGATCCGTGTAACTAGTTATAAAATAAAAATCTGAGTTAGATTATGGCTAAAATCATTCTAGTCCTAGGCATTCTATGACTATAGCAAAGCTGGATATTTTATGAAGGGTAGAGGGGAAGAGACACACCTTAAAGACACAATAGAAAATAAGGCTTTTGAAAATTTCAAATTGGTCTGATTTCAGACTTGGGCAAGTTATGCTGTCTCAGTTGCTTCTAGGCTGCTTGATCCTGAAGCTAATACATAGTATCCTTCTTCAGTATTCTCCTTGTGGGGAAGGATTAGATAAGAACATATGCAAAATGCATAATCCACCATGAAGTGGTGACCATTATTAATAGTGAAAGCAGTTTTAAATCATATTTTATATTAAGGTTTATTCTGAAGATTTAGGCATGTACTTCCCAAACTATGTTTTTGCTGGTTGAGCTCAAAACAATTTAATTCCAAAAATATTCAACCTTAGCACTGATTTCCTCTCCCAGTTTAGGGTTCTATTACCTCTATTCTTTCAAATAATATATGGTTATATTTAGTTATAAGAATAATTAAGATATGTCCACTTCCTATCACTTGTATTTTCTAATTTGAATTCCAATTTATTTTCAAGGTGTTCCGGAAGGAATTTTAAGCAGAAGATGGTGACTTTCAAAGTATGAAAATTTAGTTTTGCAGAGTTTACTTATATTTGTATATCCAAATTCACAAAATGGATTAAAACATCATTGAGTATACAATAATAAGCTGCAGAGATATGTTAAAATGAATGTTAGATAGTTTTGGAAGGTGCTAGCAGTTCTTCAAATATATTGAAATATTGTGAAAAACAGATAATTCAGTTTTCCAAAGGAAAATATCTATTAAAACTATAATAGCTTCCACAGAACTAGTGAAAGGACAGATTTTGCAATGAACTGAAAAATATTGTGAATTAGCATTGGAGAACTCAGTCAGTGTCTGGGAACAGAAATAAAACATCTTACCTGGATACTTTCCAAATGTGCATAAATTCTAGAAGCTGGTTTAGGTGCAAGTTACTGTGGTCATCGTCAGGCTGCAGAGAGCAGAATATATTAACATTTGTGCAGGAAATAGGAGTGAATAGCAGATAAAATACATCTGCAGTTACCTGCTGTCTTTTTATCCATCTATTTTGATAACTCTCATTCATCATTTTTATAGTTTGTCTTACTGATGTTACAAGACTCTCCTTAGCTACAATCTTTCTTTGCAACAGTGAAACAGAAACCAGAGGTTCAGGTGAGGCTACATTTAGGTGAACATGGAAATACATCTTGGCATCAAAGGTCAAACAATTTCTTTTAGTAAGAAGAAAACAGGTTTTGAGGCACAGTTCTCTCCACATGCATGGTGTCCTCCTTCTTGCCCTTCTCCTTAGCCTCCTCCTTCTTTTCTTTCTAAATATGTACAGGCCAAACTCGCCAAGAAAGTGTAAGACTCTAATGTGCCAGATGAGCTGGAGGCACTGGATGGTCTCCAGTTCTGCATTTTTCACTTTTATCATATCTTGCTGCCAAAACATCAGTCTGACAATTTTCCAATTTGGTTACATTAGATTATGTTAATGAATGACAATTACTGATAAATCTAAATTCTAGGAGTTACTCTTTGGTGGTTTATTTCCTGTCCAAATGAGCAGGAGCTATGCATCTCCAATGGTACACACACACACACACACACACACACACACACACACACACACACACACATTCATGCATGCACATACACACACCTCAAATAGATTCTCAGGAAAACCCTGTGCACCTGAGCAGAGAATGGAATATTCTATCATGTCACAGTATTTGATGACATAGTGGTGACAAATTTGTGTGGATGGAGTCCCTACATGTCCAAGTGTAAATAACCTTGTGTGTCACATGTCCCAAAGTGGTCAGATTTCCCAAAGTGCCCATTATAGTTGTTGACAGAAAGCATCAGAAGAAAAACCTTTCTCTGGATTTTCCCTCAAAGGTCAGTGATTTTTATGTTGGTTTGTTTTGCAAAGAGGTAGAGAAGAGCTGAGCTCCATGAAAGGAATAAGTCTTCACTGGAAAACAATCCTCTGACTGGATGCTGTGGAAGGGAGACACTTTACAGAAACAGAAGGGAACTCCAGGGGCAGATGAACAGCGTTCTATAGGAATGTCCATCTGGTATCCAGGGAATAAGAACAACAGAATCATGCTGGTGACTCAGTATTTTTTCTTAAATGGAGAAAGCTAAACTTTAGGTATGTTAAGCTTTCTAAAAAGGAAGGAAAAAAACCCATAAAATAAGAAAATTGGAAAAGCTAGTAAATATTTTAAATTAATCTATTTATTTATTTTTGTTTCCTAAGGATTGAACCTATATATTTCTTTCTCTTATTTTCTTTCTTATTTTTGTGACAAGATCATGCTAAATGGCTAAGGTGCCTTGGTAGGGCATGAATTTGTGAACTCCTGTCTCTTATCTTTAGCCACCCAGAATCCTGGAATATTACAGGTGTGTGCCACCATACCCAGTGTAGGTACTATAATGTCTTCTTTCAAAAGTTAAAACCAAAGCAAGACTATAAATAATTTTATATTATGTATTGACAAATAATTAGATATATTCTTTTGAAAACTTATGCTACCTATTAGAAACCCTTTCCATGGTGCCAGCTACTGGAGACACCTGTAGTGTGTCCCTAGTCTCCTGCCAGATATTATGGCACATGGCAGGAAAGCAAAGAAAGAGCAAGAGACAAAGTAGAGGGGAACAGCAGGGCCCTGGCACGATCCGTGCCCTCAGGGGACAAAGACTCAGAATCTCCAGCTAGCCTTCATTTTATTTTGCTCATACAAAGGTAAGGGTGTGGCGACTTTCCTGGATTGGTACAGAAGTAGTGGTCCAATGTGAGTTCAGCATCATAAAGGAAACAGGTTAAGATCATCCCCATGCATGAGTGCTATTTCCCTATATTGTCCTCGGCAGACTTCATCCCTCTCTATGAGCTTCTTTGGAGAGCGAGCAGAATTTCCACATCCCAAAACCAGATCATAAGACAAGGCCTCAAACAGATTCTACACCACTTCATAATTTGTGGTCCTTAACATCTACCTATGCATATTCACTGTAAAAATCACTTTGTTCGATTTCCAGAGATGCTGATATTTGGGAGTGGTGGCTGTCCCTTGTCATAGTGCCATTTATTAGAATTTTTTAAATAGTGTCTCAAAATGCTGGAGAAAAATTTCAACAATTGTCCATGAAATACACGGTTCATTTTAGTTTTTTCCAACTCTGAAAGTCACACACTGGTTTAAGAAAGAAGTTCAAACCTATTTTCTTCATAAAAATTCTACTGAAAAAATTGTTCTGTGAATATTCCCTTGAGCTAAAAGGAAGGATCACTTGTTTTTATGATTAGTATCTACAGTGTTGGCAACATTTTGGATCAACTTGGAGAGAGGTAAAGTCGGATTAAAAATTTTAAAAGAAATTTAGTCTTTCACATCACATCCAATCAAGGCAGAAGTTTTAAGATTTTGAGATGAGGAATGATTTCTACAGACCATCAAATTGCTTTGGTGAACAATCTTTTAGAACAAGAATTAAGACATTGTATTTTACTATAATATAATCAAGCTTAAAAAAGAGAAACATGTTGGATGTAGCTTTGCAATGACTTTTATAATTAGAAAAACCTAGACAGTTATAGTCAATGATTTCAGCAAATTTTAACTAATACAATAATTACTATATTCATAGTATTAAGGGTAGAAGTAATATCAAGTCCCTTTTACAGTTTCACTAGAATGACAATGTAATTGTTTGCAGATGTTTAGCTGACAACTGAATTTCTGAGAATCAAAGAGAATTCTGACAGTTTTTAAAAAATAGATTTAAGAGAAAACATTTACTGTCTCTATAATATCTATATAAAATCCAAGGTCAATTATTTTGCATATAATAATTCAAATAATGGATGAGCATTATAAACAGATAAGCTGTGTCAGTTAAATTAAGTTAAGCCACCTTATAAAATTTACATTAAAGCCAAGCTAGTCATTTTTTGGTCACATGCTGTAAACAAAGCTTAGTAAGCAATTCTGATGAGGCTTCAGATAGAGATTCTCTTCATCAAAAACTGTGTATCATGAGAGTACCTACTCGATCTAGTTACTATGCAAACTCAAGTAAGAAATACAAGAGCGTAAGTCAGTGCTTGATCCTGGTAGTATCACTTATTATTAGCCAGTGAAGCCATAAAATTAAGGTGTTGTCTTATGACATTGAAGTTCTTCATTACTAAAAATTCTAAAGTTTTTTTTTTAAACCTGGTTTTAATTTAACCATTTCAAAAGTTTACTCATGGTGTTGAAAATACAGACAAATACGGGCATGCAACTTAATTATGTTTATGATTTAGATGTCATACTGAAAAAGACTAGTGACAACTGTACATAATATGTTCAGAGATGACTATGTTCCTAAAAAAGATGACAATGCCAATTGTCCACTCTTTGGATGATATTATAATACTGTGGGAACTATAATTGAAATACTTTTGCTCAAATTTCATTTCTCTTGTTTGGTAGCTATCAGACTTGTAACTGTTGAATTAATCTCTTTAATTTTTTGGTACTTTTAATTATATATTTTGGGGAAATGTATTTATCACTGTTTGCTGTTAGGCTATGTAATTACATGAAGCACTGCTATGGTTGATACATTGTGTTAACTTGAAAAGTTTAGTAGTTTTAACTGAGAGACTCAGTAAGTAGCCAGGAGTCTTACTTTTATAAATATCCTCATCCTGTGCAATAGGATGGCACTGATTATGTGAGTACTGCACTTGTTCTGGAGGAAATGAGTGGCCTATGTATGATATACATAGCTCTGGCTCCTGCCTTGAAGTGCTGCCCCAAAACCATGCCTATCTGCCTTGGAGCCAGCTGATTATGGACTGAAACCTTATGAACGGTAAGCTAAATAAATCTTTCCTTCCTTAATTTTGGGTGTTTATTGTTTTGTTCCATCAATGAGAGAAGAATAACCAAGACACACATCAAGAGCAGTACCTAGTATATAAAATAGATGCATGATATAGTTATTATTAAATACATATGATGTTCCAGTGTCTAAGCTATGTGAATATAACACTAGAAAATCAACCAAAACAAGTAAAAATATGCACCGACCTAGAATTTTGACCAATTTCTCTAAAACTCACATCTAAAAATCACCGAGAAGAGCATGCAAATTCTAGGTCCCCTTTGCCATATAAAGTAGGTCAGATGCTATGTGGAGTCTATAGACTTACTGGCTGGGCTCAAATCAAGCTCCTTTCTTCACCAGTTCAATGACTACAGTCTTAGGAAAGTCCAAAAGACTCCCTGGGATTCTATTTCTTTGTTTCTGGTGCTGCTTTCCTCATAAAATTGTAAAGGTTAATGTGATAGAAATGTTAAAATCTCAGACAAAATATACGCTAAATACATATTCTATCAGAAGAGTGGAGTTATGTCAATTTTAAAATAAAGCTCAATTTATGTGAGACTGAAATGTTAGTGTTTTATGAATTATTACACCAATGAGATAAATTATATTTTAGAAACATGCAAACTAAAATCATATATTTTCCCTTCTTTTCCCATGTTACAGTGAAATGTGATGAGTTCATCTTTTTTCTGCAATATTGAGGGCAATTTGAACAATGGTAAGTTTATTAATACTGACAATATTAGTTGCACTTTATAACGTTTCTTTGTAGAGCTTACAGATGAATATCCCTGGAGCTGTCAACAGCAGAGAGGCTGGAAACAGCATCTAAAGGGTATTTCTAAATGACTCTCTTTTGGCCTCATTATGTTCTATTCCATATAGATATATTGCAACCTCATGTACCACCTGACATTTTTTATGATGAAACACCTTTTATTAGGGGAAAAAAAAGAATCATCACTAGAAATCCGTTATCTGATAGAAATGACAGGATGATAGGATTTTTGCTTAAAGCAGGTAATTGGAAGTTTCTACAGATAAAACTGCCAGATATCACAGTGTTATTGCATACTGTGCAATTTGAGTTGGAAGTAACTCAAGACATCACACAGGCAATAAAATTCACATCTAACAGTGCAAAATTGTGTCATTAAAGCACAGTAATCCTTTTCTAGGTAGTTTTATCAAACATACTATGAATATTTATCTGTTGTGATTTGAGTTGCTTTGTTTATTGGAATAAACAGTCTTCAGATATAACAAGAGTTGTATTATTTTTCTCATGCCCATGGTTTTTCTTTTACATGACATCACAATAACCTACCTTGTAACGCTATCATATGATGGGTGGTCTCCAGGGGTATAAACATTCAGTGTATAACACTAAGACTGCTCCCATCATGTTGCCTCAGTTTAAATTAACAGACCTTTAGTGTAAATATTCCATCATGTTCCAATAATTATTCCCAAATAAATATATGTTTATGAAGTTATATCATTCTAGATTTCAGAAACGTAGATACATTGTCATTAGATCTATTCCTTTGCTAACTGAAACCACTGTTAAGAAAGTCTTACCTTTCGGGATAACTTTCCTAGAGCTGCTGTATTTTTCTGTAGATGAAGTTGAATAACAGATTTGTTTTTCTGAAACATTTTGTGGCTCCCCAAACAGTGATCACTGTAGAAGAAAAAAATGAACACAATCATATCCTCCCATAATCCCCTAAGTATGTGTTTTCTTAACTCATTTCCTATTAGTTTTGGAACACAGTCTGGTAAAGTCTGGTGCGCACTATGAGTGTGTGTGTTTACATAAACATAATGAGGGGAGATGCATATCTAAATATAGTTGAAAACATATTATAATTTTCAGAAATATATTAATAAGTTAAAAAAATTGGGTACCTTTAGCGAGCTCATAATTCAGTAAAGAATATTTTACGTACTTAAAGTGTGTTTTGCCCAGCTCTCAAACCAGAAGGCAGTAAGCTTCAGAGAGGTCTAGTTGATGCTGCAATGCTTTTGTGGGGACTACTTTGGCATAGAGATGTAGTAGAAATGTCACAGGCTTTGGAGACACATTTACTAGCTCTGTGACTTAAGTAGGCCAATTAAACTAAAGCTATGTGACATTCAATACTGTCTTCTTTAGAGTTAGCATTTCACTGTCTACATTCAAGTGTTCACAAGAAGATTAAACAGTAAAAAAAGACATCAGATTTTAGGTATTTTTAATGGTAGGGTCACATTTTTTTCTTTCTTTTTGTCTTTTTTTTCAGTAAATATTTGTCAAGCACAAATTAAATGATAAGAACAAGAATTAGTGTTTTGAAACCAATTGTTTTAATCAAAATCTGGTTCTTCTGAAACCAAAGGACTTTTATTATACAATATCCTTTGGAACTTTAAATTCCGATTCTTAAATTGGGACTTTAAACTCCGACTCTTGTTATTTAAAAAGACATTGAGTTAGAGGATTTTGTTGAAAGGATCTTGGTTAAATAGACAAAGGACTTCAGGAAAGAAAGAGATCTCTTATAAAAAACTTTGGAGTGATGAAGTTGTAATTTACTAAACCTTATGACTATATTAAAACACAAATAGATATTACTTTGTTAATATCTATGTAATACTCTTCAAGTTTTTTGACAATTGCTACTTTTAGTCCCTGTCACTTTAGGGTTGTATTAATTGCATTGCCTTTGATGTCTAGAACTATGCTTTTCAGCTCAGGAGCCACTAAGTACAAGCGGTTGTTGGTTACTTGCACTGAGGTGAATCTGAATTGAGACGTGCTCTAAGTGTAAAGAACACATTTGGTTTTGAAAGCTTTTAACAAAACATGTGACACACCTCAAACTTCATTTTGATTACATGTTAAAATAATATAATGGAAACACTGAATTAAATAAATTGTAGTATTAAAATAGTCAATTGCTTTCTTTTCCTTTTTTATATTTTGTTGTAGTAAGAACTAAACCCGGGATTTGCACACTTTAGGCACATTCTGCCCCTGAGTTGCATTTGCAGCTGTTTTTGTTTTGAGACAAAATCTTAATAAATTGCCCAGACTGGCCTTCAACCTGTTTTTGTTCTGCTTCAGCCTCCTGGGCAGTAGAATTACAGGCATGTGCCACCATACCCAACTTCTTTTTTTTTTAAATTGTGGTTAATAGACAATTTAATGCTGGTAGGTGGCCAATGTGACATTTTAAGTGGATTGTGTTAATTTAGAGGAAACGAAAAAGAAGAGAAAAAAAAAAAAGACACTGAAGGCTAGAAATAGGGGTGATATGTGTAACTTAATGATTAATGGAGTAAGGAAAATTCCACATGAGGCTTCTAGGGCTCAGAAAGCGTAGAGTGAAAGGTTACCAAACCAAGAAAAATAGATGAAAAGCTAAGCTGCAGAGATGGGCAGTGTGGAGGGAAAGGTTTGAACTAAGAGAACAGTTCACTAAAATAATCATGTGGCACTGGAACTATTCCTTTAAGATTATACACACAGATTTCAGAGACAAGTGCTTAGTAGACTTTAGTGAATAATCTCAAATACAATTTCAACAGTTTAGAAAGATAAATCTATGATATAGTCAAATTTTAGGGTATATTCTATACATATACTGATACAGCAAGATTTCTTCACATTTGTTATTTATTCTTTCAACAAATATTTGATTCAAGCTATCTTCTAGTTACTATTTTAGGAACTGTTATGAATGTGCTTGTCATTTAAAATAAACACTGAGAGGCAGAACCTTTGCACATGATTGCCTCTATTTCCTACTCAGAAATAGCTCCATGTTATTTAAAAGTATTTCTATGAAAATATGTTTACTTAAAGAGCAATCGATGACCTTGGCACCAAAATAATATGCAGATACTCAGACTTGTCTCAGAGCAAAAAATTAATGTCCGAACTATGAATATTGATTTTCATCATCCTAGGCCTGCATTTCAAATCCATATCCCTGAGCAGGACTCCTTAATTAAAATAAATGTACAGTCTTGTTTTACAGTGTAAAAAGTTTCAAATGTTCTTCATTCTTTGTGTGGGAAGTACTCACAGAGTTAGATTGTGAAATATTAATATCAATATGTAGGAACAAATGTATTTCAATTTGGCTTTATAAATATTGAGAACCAGGACTGTTGACAGATTTTAAAGATATTTCCTTCAGAAAATTCAGTAATTAAGCTGAATCTCCAGCACAGTATGAGGTCGAAATATTGAGCCATTATACTAAAATCTTAAAATATTAATGATGCTATTATTACAGCTATCAGTAGTGCTGCATGGAGTGCATTTTGAATAGTTCTGCATGTGTGTATGTACACCCACAGACAGACACACATAACTTTCATTCAGCATTTTCACTTTGGAATTTCTATGATGCAACATTTATCACACTGTTAATTCAATTAAGATAGTCATTTCCACCAACTAAATAGTCTAGATTTTATTCTCAAAGTGGAGTTTAAAGTTGATTCACACAGATAAAGAGCAGTGGTGTGTGTTGCTTTCAAAAGACAAAGACCTTCAAATTTATCGTTATTTTGCTTTCAGGGGAATAATGAATAGGAAAAATTAAATTTCATGATTTGGAGGTATAGTTACAAGGTAAATTCTAAAACTAAGTATTTGATATTGTAGGAGAGGGTAATGCTTTTGAAAAGAGATGGTGTACGGAGCACATATTGATACCCATGCATATTATTCAAGAAGAGACTGGACCAAAAATTGGAAGCTTTCCTATTCAAATTCAGAATTTTGGGGCTGGGAAGTTAGCTCAGTGGCATAAGTGCCTTCCTGGCTAGCGCGAGGTCGTGAGTTCCATCCCTGGTACTGAAAAAAAAAATTGACAAATTTTCCTAGGAACTTCCTCCAGCCTTTAAAAGACAACTATTGTCATATTCATTTAAATATAATTATATTCCTTCATACATAGAGTATGAATACATTTCAATTTGAAGATAAAATTAAATTGAATATACAATTGAAAAAGTTTTTAATCTAGAAGAAATATTTTGTATTAATTTGCAAGTACCTCTCTACTAAGTCTTAGAGTTATAACAATTAAGTAATAGCAAAGTAATCTATATAAATGAATTTAACTGAAACAATCAATAAGAAAATCATAACAGGGATGATGGAGCTCTGTGTCCTTTTCAAATATATTTTCTAAACTGCAAGTAGCTCTTTTTGGATATAGATCCAAAATTGAAATACAGACACCCTCCCAGGAAATCAGAAATAGAGATTGCATTCCATTTCAAGGTTTCATTATTTTGCCCACAAAATCTCCAGAGGAGAAATATTCTGCAGCCTTTGCTAATATAAAGCATTCAAAAACTGAGATTAAAATAGCAATTTCAGTCTTATTAAAATGATTCTGATTCCTTTAAAATAATACATATATAATTCAAAAGTTTTCTAGCTAATCATTTTTTAACTTAAGAAATTAGAGCACTAGGCTATTTAAATTTCAGTTGATTCAAAATTGGGAAGTTTATAAATATTAGCTTTTAAAAATAATGTTTTTAAATAACAAAGATAATACCTGCCTATTGGCTATTATAGTCCTAGGAATAATGAAATTATTGTTGTACCTATATTTAGGCATGATTTGCCAAGTTTTTCTTGGCAAAGACTGTTTATCTAGTCTATTGTTTAATGGTGCTTGCATAATTTAGCTCCTTTTAAAACTCAAGTTTGAAATAAGCTATAATTCTTACATGTTGCTCCTAATACACCATTGATATGCATCTTTCCTTAGAATGCTGCTTCCAAATGAAATAATATACAAACCATTCACTCTTAAGTATATTTGTTTTATTTCTGAGTTATTGAACAAGAACCAAATGTAAGTTTGCATACTAAGTTATTCTATTGTTGTTAGTTATTTATTAAGGATAGAAACCAGAATTATTTTTAGTATGTCAGGAAAAGTACCATGATGACAATCTAGAAACTGACTTTAAGAATCCTAAGATAAATGGTTTGAGTAATAGAACACTCTCTAAATTGTGTGTGTGATAGCTAAGTCATGCTGAAGTCTGTTCCATTTACCCACATGGTCCTATGATTTTGTAAGTGGAAGAGTACTAAAGTTAAATCCGAAAAGTCATAGTGGAATAGATTGTAACTTGAAGCCTTAGACTGCTCTGCATGTACTGAACATAATCAATTTTTCTACATTTGCTAAATGAAATCTTTCACTGAGGATCAAATAAGACTCTTCTTTCCTACACCCTGAGATACATACAACTGAGTTTTTATTCATAACGAGTGAAACCTATTAACTTATACTTATATAACTTAGATTTTTCCCATTAATCATTAATAATTTGATTTTTCCTTGGAGTACAAGTAAATTCCAACTTATAATCAAATGTTTGTTGATCAAATGAATGCAACTAATTTAGGGTTAATTAAACCTATTTTTCAAATAATGAGTTTTTAGAGATTATTTTAAAATTCTAGTGAAAAGGATTTCCTTTTTGGGAGAAAGCAGGAGACAGAAAGGGGACTCCTGGTAGCCAGGTCAATCTAATCAGTGTTGATGATGAATAAAGAAGCTGATGCTGCTATCTTGATAGGAAAATGAACAACTATTTCAAAGTAGTATTTTTAGTCATCACAGGGCTTTTCATTTTACAATAAATTTTTAGTGCTCT